ACATGTATTTTGACAATATAATGTGGGAGACGTGTTAGAGGCAGTCGTTGCAAACATGAATGTGTTTGGAAGAGTAGCTGCGTATGGTGCAATCTCAGCATATATTGGCACTGAAAAGAGAGCTTCACCAAACATGTTGGACGTTTTATACAAGAAAACCAACATTAGAGGATTTATAGCTACAGATTATATGAGCATTTTTGTAGATTTCATTTCAAAATCTTCGGATCTTCTTCATTCAAGGAAGTTGCAAACGCTTGAAGGCATATCTTTTAGTGTGGAGAGCATCCCTTTTGCTTTCGTTGGACTAGTCAAAGGAGATAATATTGGGAAGAAAATTATCAAGATTGCATGCGACTATATTTAGGTTTTATGGTAAGATTTTACCCATGGCCCCATGCTTCGGCGAAGCAAAAAGAAGATCTTCTAAACAACGCATATATGCTGTGTTTTATTCTGATAAAACTTTGGTATTCCGCATAAACAACCGACTAATCCGATTTGGGTGTTGCAGAGGCCGAAATAGGAGGTGATCCTGCCAAGTCAGTAGCTCCATTCACAACCTTGGGATTCAAACCCTGAACCTTGCCCTGTTTTGTTCAATAAAAATTGAGTTGGGTTTTGAGCCCTCATGAAATTAGGGTATACCTCTAGAATCTAAAAAATATAAAAAATATTTATAAATTGCCTGCTAATATGATTCTTACATCATTAGTAAGATACTATGAACTTATAATTTTTAGTTATTAGTCAAATTCTTACCAGTTGGTCAAATATTTAATGGATAAACATTGTATAAATACTAAAGGAGGAAGACAACAATATGACCCATATTTTTAATAATATATTGATTTGCTTTAAATTTGGTCATCGTGTAAACTAAAATTTCTCAACTTGTTACCCTTCTTTTACTTTTTTTTTTTTTTGCATAGAATACGTTTCGCGCAATTTTTTGTGATAAAATCAAACAAAATGTAACACAGTAATAATATTATTGTCATAAGAAATAATACTATTATATAATATATGATATACGCTTTGTGTGATTAAAATTAAACCTTCTGAGAAAGATACCCTTTGTTCAAAAGAGCTTAAAGTGTTCATACAGTAAATAAAGAAATATTCTTCCTTCATTATTGGGATAATTAATTTTTAAATTATTTTTTGGTTAATATTCTATAAAATTTCAAATTTAAGCACATGCTCAGAGAAAAATTTACTTTAGAGGGTTTTAAGCCAAAAGAGACTCAATAGAAGAATGCAATACAATTTCATAAGGTACGTCCTCCGTCCCTATCCAATCCAAGTCAATACATGATCTAATATTAATTATGATATAGCATATCATTTGCTAACTCATTAAAGACCAAAATCATTTAAAAAAAAAGTCTTTTTACTAGAAATATACATACACTCGCGTAAAAGAAAAGTGAGAGAAAGAATGATATAGAGTGAAGCGGTCTAAAAAATGCCCCTAACGCCTAGATCTGTTGCATTAACCCCAGCTAAAAGTTTCTGAAAACCATTCTCCCTAGTATGCAGATAGAGTGGATACGACAATGTGGATACATCTTTAATGAATGAATACCTTCCGCAATGCCCACAAACATAATATCTATTTGGATTGTCCCAAAATAAAAGTGAGTATTTGGTTTTTTGGTTTGGTTTTTGGTGAAAACCGAATAAACTGAAAAACTGAACAAAGTCAATTTTAAACACTGAAATGAAATGGATTAGCTAAATTAACTAAAACTGAATTAATCAATATATTTTGGTTTGATTAATCAGTTAACTGAAATATATATATATATATATGTGAAAGATGAATTTATATTAGAAAAGCATAATAAAACACAAGTAAACCCATCCATTAATGATATTTCATTATTCAAGATGATTTATTGTAATAATATTTCTTATAAAAATATTTATAGGCATAATTCAAGCTCACATATATCCACACATATAAATGTACTCCTTCGGTCCTTAATATAAGATCCATTTAACTAATTTGATTAGATTAAGGAAGTTAGGTAAGTTAATTAATTATAAGAAAAGTGATATATTTTTCCTAAAACATCATAATCATCTTTCTTAATACTCTCTCCCCCTCTTCTACTTGATTATGGTTGATGGAGTATCTATAGGGATAATTTAGAGAAAATTAATAAATATGAGAAATGTGTCTTATATTTAGGACTAAAATCAATTCAAAAATTGGGTCCTATATTAAGGACCGGAGGAGTATCATATATATATTTCAGTTTTTCAGTTTTGACCGAATTTTTCTCTTAATAACTGAACCAAACGCTGAAAACTGAATTGTCAAAAAAATAAAAGTTGAATATTTAAATAAAAATTGAAATAACCGAATCAAAAAAATGAAATTGAATGTGGTTCGCTTTCCAGTTATATTTTGGTTTTGCTCACCCTTACAGTCAAGACTATGTTGGAAAGTTAATTATGTACTATATAGATCTCCTCTTAGACCTCAATGCAGTTATGTTAAACTTATTGATACTCACGCACCAGCAGACGTGGTTGGGGGGAGTGGCACAATATTTCCAGGACTAATGTCTGAAGCCGGGAACCGTTAGACTGAGGAAAAAAAGCCTGCACCTGAGTGTAGAACCGAATAAGCTTTCTTAACAACCATTAATGGGGGTATATCCAATTTGTCCACCGGCATCTGATTTCAAAAATACCATATACAATAGAGCAGCCAACAAACTCGTGAAGCAGTCAAAGTATCTAAATCTAATAACTGCTGAAACAATTATTTTTCGTGATATTATCCACTCTTATCCCTAAAGATGAGCCAAACCAAATTGCTCCCACCAAATGTTATCCAAAAAAGAGATGAAATCATAATTCCACATGATAATCACAAAACAAGCAAGATGAATCCACGGATAAATGATGCCGGTTAAGAGTGTGCCTTATGGGTATAGCCTCCAAAAACCAACGCCATAAGAAAAATACAACATGGAGAATGCATTTTAGTCTGATCATCACGCTCCAAAACTTACTAAAATCAATTGAAGTATTAGAAGAATAAGTCATTGGGGAATGATAACCCTTAGCCACTGTATAGGATCTCGAATTACTTCCCTTCCAAATAAGTTTATCCACTCCATGGAATAAAGAAAAAGGAGTCCTCATAGTAAGTAGCGCCACATCAAGTTCATAAAGATACTTAACAAATGTCTAATTCTAACAGCCTCTATGGTGCAATAACAAGTCACTAGCTGACATGAAGGTTAGTGGTAATTAATGGAGATCAGATTGCATTGGCTACCAAATGTGGCTAAAGAGGCTGATAGAGAAGCTAGTCGTAACAGACCAAGAGGATCGACTCAAAACAATATCTTTAGCTTGGTAGCTGTCTTTGCAGATCTTGGATTGTAAGGATCTAGTAGCCAAGGTACCATCCTTATCAGGAACCAGATGTTTTGGCCGCATCACTAGTCCAACAAAAGATTATTTTGAAGTATTAAGCATTCTCCAAACATTTTTGACCAGTGATGCAGAATTAAATTCTAAAGTTTTTTGAATACCTAGACCCCTAAAACTCTTAGGCAAACAAATTCTATTCCATTTCAGTTAATGCATTCTCTTCTTATTGTCATTCAATCCCTTAAAAAAAAAAAAAAAATCAGCAATTCGCGTGTCTATTTTGTGAACAATAGAAGCAGGCAACTTATGGAAGGAAAGAAGGTAAACCAGAAGAGAAGACACCACCGATTTAATGAGTGTTAAATGACCTACTTGAAATAACAAAGACGCCTCTATTGCTGTAGTTTAGAGTTTATCTTATCCAAAATTAAATTAAACAAATTAGACCTTTGTCTCCCGACGTCCACACATATTCCAAGATATTTGCCGCAAAGTTGACACCTAAAAGTTTAGAAAACCACACCATAACCACATGTGGCACATTGGGGTGAAGTACCATCGACAATTTAGCTCTGTTCACCTTTTGCCTACCCACAAGAAAGAGCTAATTAACCAGATTGAATGAGGACTTATTTGCCCTGACCATTAGCAGGGCATCATCCACAAATAATAAATGGGAAAGTGGCAAAGATCCTCTACTCAATGTAATGCCCTTCCATTTACCTCAGTGTTCTGCCTGCAAAATCCAAGAAGAAAGAACATTAGCGCACAAAATATAAAGATATACTACGAGAGTGGAACTCCCTGTTGAATGCCACCTTGACAGTAAAATGCAGGAGATTGACATTCATTAATCAACACTTGGTAAGAAGCATAGGTAACCGCATGCATAAACATATCAATCCAGTGCAGAGGAAAATTCATCTTTAAGAGAACGACGTCGAAAAGGACCAGGACAATTTATTATAAGCATTCTCAATGTCCAGCTTAATCACACACCAGCCCTGCTCTTGTTTTTGAAAAGATTTAAGCTTAGCTATAACCTCACTAACCACCAAAACATTATTTGAAATAAGCCTCCCTTTAATGAAGGAATTTTAAAGAGGTAAAATGACATCTTGAAGCACGGGTTATAGCTAATTGTAAAGCACTTTAGTAGTAATTTGATATGATACATTGTATAAACTCATGGATGAAAATCATTAAAAGATTGAAAAACCTTGCCCTTGAAAATTTTAAAAAATATAAGTGGCAAAGAGGGAGAAACAAAAAATTGTTGAAATATTTGAAAGACATCTTCAAAACAATCATTTAGCCATAGGAAAAAGTCCTGTGCTAAACCAAATTAGTTATAAGATGTTATGGGGCGGCCCTCAACCAAGTCGATATGTCCGAGTGGTTAAGGAGACAGACTTGAAATCTGTTGGGCTTCGCCCGCGCAGGTTCGAACCCTGCTGTCGACGACTCTCTTTCGAATTTCGAATTGGCGTCAGCTTTTTAGGCAGTGAGCCATACGGAACGCCAGGGTTTTAGTAGGGTATAATACTAATTTCAGACCGCATTGTTCACTGTCTTTTTTTGGCCAAACGACTGCATTGTTCACTTGCTGATCGGCATTTTCAGTTTCCGAACAAAAGTGAGAGTCCCATATTCATTCCCGCCTTTAGCCTCTCCAAAGTCTCGCTGACGCGAACGCCCACATTACACTCGTACACTTTCCTTCTTTGTTATTCTCACTCTGTCTGCTAGGGTTTCATCTACTGCTCTCCCTGTCCATTTCATTGCTCTAGCTCAATGTTCCCTCCGAAGGAACTTTTAGCCACACTAGAATCAGCGCTTCTCAGCCCCTCGCATCCTTCTGCAGCTCAAAGGGTCGAGCTCTTGCACGCCGTTCGCAGCTCTCTGCCCTCTTTCCGCTCCCTTCTCTCGTATCTGGTACGTCATACGAGAATTCATTTTGTTTTTCCATTGCTTTTATGATAGAAATTGGAGGTAGTTTTGTGAATTCAAGGTCGCAACAAGAAAATGAGGGATTTTTAGCATTATATTGTTTTCTGTCAGTTGGTTTTGCTTGAATTTTCTTCGGACATAATTTTGTGTTTTGTGGCCTTTTAGCCTCCAAAGGCCTCTGATCGAAGTCAAGTACAATCAAAATCCGTTAGGCTTCCAGATTCTCCGCCTATCTCTCTCGACGATCAGGATGTACAGATTGTGAGTTCTCATTTATTTTTAATGATGTGTCATCAGGCCTGCTTTACTCACATGTTCTTAAGCATGCATAGTCCCCTTTTGCACTACTGTTTCTTCTTCTTCTTCTTTTTATTGATATTGACTTTGATGATGCATAGGCTCTCAAGTTGAGTGATGACCTCCATCTCAATGAAATTGATTGTGTTCGATTGCTTGTTTTGGCTAATCAAGAGGTAAATTCCTGCTGTTCCTTTTCATCTTTAAATTTCATTCGCCTCCTCTTATTATGATAGTTATGTTTAATACATTTTATTATGTATGAGTAAAAACATATAAATTTGCTCTTTATTTGTAGTGGGGTTTAATGGGAAGAGAACCACAAGAAATTGTGCGCCTTGCATCAGGACTCTGGTATACTGAAAGAAGGGATCTAATAACATCTCTCCATCTGCTGTTTAGGGTATCTTCTCACTGCTCAAGCAATCATTTTCATTTGGTGTATGCTCTTTCTTTCTTCCTTTCTCTTTAATGCTATAATGGCTTGATGTTCTTTCCATTTCAGGCTGTGGTTCTTGACCAAGGCCTGGAAGAAGATTTATTGTCTGACATTCAGAAATACTTGGAAGATCTCATCAACACTGGACTAAGACAACGTTTCATATCTCTGATTAAGGTTTGCTTTGTGTGAATTTATGATATTTCTTCAGACCTTTGTGCATTCAACTATGACATTAGCTTGTAGCAAGGATATTCATGCTATAGTTTTTTTGGTTCTGAAAAGCTGCCTAAAAAGAGATTTTATTTTTAGTTTCTTGCTGTGTTTGGCCTGCGTTATATGTGGCTTTGAGTAGTCGGAGGATATGTTTCGTTTGTGGGAAGAAAGTAGGAAATTTGAGCTTCTTTGAAGAAGAGATAGAAAATTAATACTACCTTGTTCGTAAATATAAGAGTTAGTTAATTAATTTTTAAGGATTAAAAAAATTAGTTAAGGTAGTTATTTATAAATTATGTGTTGATTTTCCTAAAGTAACTTTATAGTTATTTGCATTCAAAAGTACCTCTTGGTAAATACCTTTTAATATATGTAAGAAGATTTTGGGAAAAGAATTATAAATTTGGCAGACAAGGTAGATTTGGGATTTATATTTAAAATCAAAGGAAACACCTTTACTAGCTCTTATATTTAGGTCCGAAGGTAGTAGTTATTGAGACAGAAGTAACCTCCTTAGTTAAAGCCATCAATTACAAACTTATCCTATATTTTTCATGACATCAATCTGCTCTTTTCTATCAGCATATCAGTAAGCACTTTGACAGAGATGTATCTTGATATATTTATTTTAATTTGTTTTGAGGTATTGAATTACTTGTTTTGCTTAAGATATTTTATGTATTAATTGTGATTTTATTTTATATTGTAATTGTAATTGAATAATACATGAAAAAAGTTAAGTTAATGTTAATGAATTTTCATAAAATATTTCTTGCAAAGTCATTAAATTAATCTTCAACTTATTGTTCTATTCTCATTTGTGTATGATTAATTATCTTTTGAGCTCATGTTGTTGTCAATAAAGGAACTCAAGAGAGAAGAACCATCTGGTTTGGGTGGTCCTATGTCTGAGCGCTATCTTCTTGATTCAAGAGGTTCTCTTGTGGAGCGGCGAGCAGTGGTCTCAAGGGAAAGACTTATTCTTGGACATTGTCTTGTCCTTTCTGTTTTGATTGTTCGGATGAGTAAGCATAGCACCATTTGGGGGGATCGTGATCTAGGGCTTTCATTTGTCTTCTTTGTACTTTAATTATCATCATAATAATATTTCTGTTTTTCAGGTTCGAAGGATGTAAAAGATATCTTTTCTGCTTTAAAAGATAGTGCTTCTGAAGTCAGTGAGAATGATGCTACTGTCGATCATCAGGTACATATATATAATCTTGTTGATTGATCAAAACGTTATATATATTTGTGTTGTGTTAGAATTTTGCTTTGTTATTGCACTCTTTGCGACTATCACATTTTAGTTGTAAAAGAAATCACGCAAACGATATATATATTATATCACAAGGGGAATTGTGCTTTGGCATAAGAGACGCGGCCATATTGCTGTTTGGTGTTATTTTATTTGTGACATAATTGTATTTGCCTCATACAAATGTAATAAAGGCACGCTTATTGCCGTTCATTTCTTATTGTGGGTTGTTCTTTTTGTTAAGAGGAACGATTCTCAATGATAGTGGAAGAATTTTTTTCCCCCATTATGTGATATGTGATTGGCATCAGTGCTTTTTAATTCATTTCAGTGAAACAAATGAGTAGAAAGCTATCACATGTTGAGAAAAAGAAGTAATTAGATCTGAAAGATACTAAAGGCTAAAGCCAAATATCTTGAAGACAATGTGGAGATGAAGTGAGCTGTGGAACATAGATAGAAATCAATGAAAACTGAATGTTAGAAATGATCCAACTGCGCATAATGGAAGATTAATTGCCTAGTTTGGCGTGGAATTGAGTTTCTTTTCTTTTCTTTTCTTTTGGGTAAAGAAAACATTTTGCTATGTTTGGTTCATTGTTTTAATATTTGAAGCTCAAGTACGAAGTTAAATTAACGATGACTAAAGGAAGAATAACCTCTTGGCTATACTTAATGTTGGTATTGATGATTTTTCCCCAAAAAGAGAATTAGTCTGAGATTAACACTTGAGCAATAAGGTGTATATATTACAACAAGGGCTGAATTTAGCTTTGGTTTTCTCAAAGGTAGGCGCCTTCTGCTCTATGTTGCTTCCTCACATCTCTATCCTGTCTTTTTCTGCAGATAACCTTTAGTCTTTTCTTTTCTCTTGTGATTGCATTCGTCTCAGATGGTTTGAGCACTGTGCCTGATAAAGCATCTATCCTTTCATCTGATGCTTCATTCAGACGAGAATTCAATGAAATTGTAAGATGAAAGATAACTACTGTTTTATGTACTGGTTATGAAGAAATTTCAGGGTTATGATTTAGGATGTTGTTGGTGGCTTTGCATCTCTTAGGTAATGGCTTCTGGAAGTAATCCAATTGTTCAGGGCTTTGTTGGCGGCATTAGGCTTGCTTGGGTGGTACATTTGATGTTAATACAAGATGGAATTTCTTCAAGGGAGTCTATTTTAAGCAATTCATCAAATGAAATCGGTTATCTTAGTCAAGGCTTGGAGGTCATTTTCTCAGAAAATGTCTTTCAGTTTTTACTGGATAAAGTTCTTCGTACTCCAGCCTACCAGGTGCAGATATGTTTTTGTTATCCTTTCAAAATGTAAATCCTCTCTGACTTGGCAAATAAAATATGAAAGGCATGCTTTCCTAGGATTTGGATTGATTTGATGCACATCTTTATAGAAGTGCACTTCTTATTTTATTATCAATTAGCACATATGCTTTATCTTCTTCCTCATCTCTTTAATAGTCGAATAGATGTGCATTTAGTGCACTTATTTAAAGAAAGGCACCATGTCAATTCCTTTTTGCCTACTTAGTGTGCGCGTGCGCGTGCGCGTGTGTGTGAGTTGGAATAACCTGTATAGTGATTCAATCTCATCAATTAAGGATGGAATTTAGCATTATCTACATGAATATGATATTTGAATTTAACTATTTTCTGGTTGTTTCTATCGTTCACTTTTCATTTATAGTGCATCTGTAAACATTTTTATATTTAGTGAAATGTCAAGTTTTATGTTTTTTATGTTGCTAATCGTTGAACATTTTATGATGCGCCATGTAATGTGAGATGTTATATTTGATTTTTTTCCTTATGTTTTCTTAATTTTACTTCATTGACACAAGGTTATTGTGCATTTTTGTACAGAATGATGATGAGGATATGATTTATATGTGCAATGCTTATCTTCACAAGTTGATTACCTGCTTCTTGTCTAGTCCACATGCCAGAGACAAGGTAAGTTTATCGTTTTCACTTGACGATATATAATAGATAATAGAATATGTTTTAGTAATGATTGAATACACAAATCTGGCATTGGATTAAATTCCTTGGATGAACTACTTTGTCATTGTTTAGACATGTTACTCCCTCCGTTCCTTATTATAAGAGACAAATAACTAAATTACGTTGATAAAAAAAACAGTTAAAATTAGTTGAGGACAATTAATGTGTAAAAAAGTGTAATATTTTTTCCAACAATGCCCCTATTAATAAGGAGAGAGTATGAGAGAGAACAATTAAATTATTAAAAGAAAGAGAAGTGGGAGGAATAGAGAATATGAGTTATGGAGACAAAATAAATAGGGGTAAAATAGGAAATCAATACAAAAAACTAGAGTCAACTTTTAAGTGTCTCTTATATATGGGAACATGCTATGAGCATCAAATGTCTCTTATAATAAGGAACAGAGGGAGTAATAATTATTAATTAGAGTAAGTCTTGTTGGTTAAGTAAATTTTTACCTTGATAAGAATGATTGAGGTCTTGTTTGGTGCGTTGTCTAGGATAATACTTGCACATAGAGGGGATAGTACTACAAAGACCGTTCATCATATAAAGCTTTTATATGATAATGTGTTCCGTCGACTTAGAGCACATTGTTGATGGGGTGATGCTGATTATGGTGATGACAGGGTGGGGTAACTGATGATGGTGATAGAATATTTTACGTGGGGTGACCTGTATAACCCGAAAAAGCTATGAAAATAAAAATTAACTTAAAGATAATTAGAAATTTAAAGTTTCTATATCTTGTCACAAAAATATTATAAAAAAATTTCAATATGTTAAATCATTCAATAAGTCTTCAAAATTTAACATTTGACAAAGCGTAGGCATAAGTAAATTACTACATCTACAATAATAAAATGCTAACATGACATATAATGAGTTTTTTCTTCTTTTATATTTTTTGTATATAATATGGATATGATAGAGCCCAAGCTAGAACAGGGGGAGGTCCAACACTGAGATTAATTCACAACATTCTTCCACCCAAGAGGTGAAGGAAGTTGCAACATTAGGGACAAAGGAAATCACACAAACGGTAAAATAAGATGAAGAAGTAGGATGATCATCCTCCTCCCCCAGTCTGCCTTTTGACAGGTTAGAGCTCTCCGCAGTACCCTAAAAATACAAAACAAGTCCTGCCAAGTCAAAACACCTTTAAACAAAAGACGGGTCTAAAACACCCTAGAGCACTCTAACTGTCAACTTTCTTCAAATTGGTGGAAGTCTTCAAGTTAACTCTGACCGCTGGAAAGCATCTTTCCTTTTGCTCGAGTCTTCCTATTTTTCCTTTTATTGATTTGGCCAGCAAAGATAACTATTAGAATATAATAAGTATTCAAAATTATATCTACGTCTTACTTGTTATTTTTATATATGACATAAATATAAGTATAATACTAATATGACTATACGTTATAATCACATTAATAGATACATTAGCTGGGTTAAATGAAGCGACCCATCTAACTTTGGGGTTGGCTAGTTTAGTTCATGGGTTAAAATGAGTGGGATTAATTTTGTCAAATTATATATATATATATATATAAATAAATTTCAAGTGATGCCTTATCGCAACCCACCAAAGCTAAACAAGTTGGCTTGATGGGTTCAACTCATTTTGATGGCTTTATATGTAGGTGGTGATGGGAATATAAAAGGTAATGTGATATAGCTGCTGGTTCTTGTTGGATCTTTAATGGGCTTGAACACCGTACTGCTGGCTTTATGTCTTGGGGGATGAGGTTTAGGGAGGAAGGCAAGCAGAATGTGAGTGTTATGTGGGAGAGTCTTTAGCCTCTTGACTGCTAGAGGTGGCTTTATGTGCCTTTGGATTACTTTGTCATAGGCAATATTGTAATGGGCCACAACCTTCTTGTCTGATCAGCACCAACTCTCCTGGCACAATTCTTTAAGGGCAGCATCGCCTTTATCTCCTGCAGTTGACCTCATAGTTACATGTTTTGACAATGGGAAGATTGGTTCTTGAATTTTGTCCACCATGTGGCTGATTGGTTTTGGAGCCCTCCTCGTTGGTCCTAGGAAGGAATGGCTTTGATACCATTGATACATAGGAAAAGATAGGAAAGAGAAAATAGGGGGAGAGAAGAGAAAGAGAGGGAGAGGGAACTGGAGAAAAAAGGAATCACTTTTCATTATCCAAAAGCCTCTCACGATTAGTCCCTAACCTATCTATTTATAATCATCACTCCTAACTACCCCAACTAACCCTCAACTAACTTATATTTATTACAATTATATGTAAGCTTCCTTAACTTCAACTCAAGCCCCGTCTTTGTTTTCCTCTTGCTCATTTGTTACTATGTTTTCCTCTTTCTTTTTCGCCTTTGATGTCTTCTTTGCTTGAACATGTGTCTCCTCTTTTGCTTTTCTTGACTTTTCTTTTATATCTCTAATCTCTGCTTTCTTCTCTCTAATTTCTTCTTTCACCTTCAATCCTTCCATTGTGTCTTCGACATGCTTTAAGCACTTCTCCAGTGTCTATTGCCGAAGGAATAAATCATATTTATGTGGAGAAACTCCCATGGATTGTACAGCTCTGGCAGCAAAATGATGGAAACCACTTGTAGAATTGATATTAAATCATAGATAATAATTTGTAGAGTGTAGGTCTAATTGATTAAACTTCCCACAGCGATGAAAATAGATAGAAATAACACAAAGTAACAAAGGAACCTAAAACCACCTCTGGCATTTGCGTGGCTAGAGGCTCTCCCAGTCATACACCTTACACACTTCATGTGACTTACTCTTGGCCCATTAAATAGGAGCCCACTAGCCATAGAGCTGACAATTTTACTCAGACCTATAAAAGGAAAGTCATGGGGACGCAAGGGTAAGAGAAATAATGTTTAAGAGTGTGATAGGATAGAATAAGGAAAAGAGAAAGATAGAAATGTTGTAGAGAAAATTAGAAGTAGGAATCAGAGAGAAGGAAACCAGAAAGGAGAGAAGACATGAGGGATTTAGAGAGAGAGAGATGAGCAAGAGAGGACACGAGAGAGAATTATCTGAATAGTGCACTGTTATTACTTGAGTAATCAAAATCTGTACAATTGGGTACCCTCCATGTCTATTTATAGGCCTACCTAACAAAAACTACTAGCAATTAAATTATCCCATATAATGGCTAGAGGCCATTACCTACCCTAACTTCTAAAAATAGTTATAATAATACATCGGAGTGGCTCTAGACTCAGGCTACACACATGGGTCACTTTTCACTTTTTTGTTGATACTACTATTTTGTATCTAGCTTGTGGGAGGACTTAGACTATGTTGAGAGTTGGAAAGAAGTAAAGAGAATGCTGGTCTCTCGAACACTAGTGAGGGATGTCGTTTTGCTTTCTTGTGTTCAGTTCATTGCACTTCACTTTTTCGTTGCTACTAATATTTTGGTAGTGGTATTTGTTTTATGGTAACAATGGTAGTTGTAATAGCAATGTGAAGGTAATATGGGTTGCAGTGGTAGAGGTAGTGATGCTGGCATTAAATGTGGCAAGACGGTGGTAGTTATGGTGGTGGGGGCTGGGGTAGTGATTGTGGAAGCAATGCTGGTAGAAGAGGGTGGTGGCTATGTTGACAATGATGATGACATGACAATATATTAGCAAAGGTAGGTAAAAGAAGCTGACTTGTTTCCTTATTACATTGCATGAATTTCGAGGAATGAGCCAGAGTGTTTATGGCTCATAAATATTGCGGTTTGTAATATATTTTATTATATATATATTCATTATTGATACTGATTATTTCATTGTAAAGTAAATGTTGTATATGCGATTAGATTGTACAACTATGTGGGCATGTGCAATCCTGTGTGTGGATTAAATGATGAATATTAATGTATTGAATTTGCTTGTTGTTAGAAGGGTGTTGACCTAATAACCCCAGCCGATATATAAGCTAGTCTAGTGTACTTTATTTAGTTCTATAATTCTGTTTAGGAGATAAGAATTTGTTGGCGGCTCAGTCTAATGGGCCACGGGCCTAAAACCCTAAGCCTCATAACAGATTTTATTCTGTAGATTTATTCATGTTTATTAGCTAGATTATGATTCTGATCTGATTGTATTTTGAATTCCATTCTAGAACCCTAGTATCTGGGCCAGATCCCTAGATTAACAGCCTAATAACCTCCCTTTCTGAGGAAGTTTTGTATCTATTTAAACCTGTTACCTCATTCTTATAGAACTCAATTCAGAGTCAAAGAGATTCTTTGGAATTTGATCCTATGTAATCATGGGATCAGATTAGAGCAGAATATTAGATTTGGTGGGTAATATGTAACCCTAGACTATCCCATATGTACTGCATCATTCAATCAATAAAATATAAATACTTTTTTTCCCCCCCTCAGTGCCCTCTCTAATTTTATGCTAACAATTCTACTCATTTGAAATAAACGGACTATGAAATGTTATCCCTTTCTGTTGCTCCTTGGGTGATCTCTCAATTTGTTGTCAGTCTGGTCTAAATGTTCTGTTATTTGCCAATTGGGAACTATTGGCTTTTGTTCTGGAATTTAATGATACTGAAGTCTGTATGATTTTCTGCTCTGCTTTACTTTTGCCCGTTTGAGAATTATATCTTGTGTTGGTCCAAAATATGTGGCTTTCAGCTCTGTCGATGATTATTTGAGCTTCAAAGTTTAAACTATCAAGTCAAAGCGATGATTAATATCAATAAGCATAATTAGATCTCTTATGTTCTCTCTTTTTCTTGTTGCATATTTTTGTCCATGGGGCATCGATTGTTTTAATTTCTTAAGCTGGTTTTTCTTAACAGTTAGTGAATGTTCTTTTGTTTTTGAAACGTTGAAATTTTTACTTTTTGATTTGATGGGTGAAATGCACACATCCACACTTGCATGAGGAAACGACTTGGTTTAGCCAGTTGTTGCAAGTATAAAATTCCTCTTCTGTTTGTTTTGGTTTTCATGACATTTCATTGAAAATGATTTTGCTTGTATTCGAGCAGATAAAAGAATCCAAGGACAGGGCCATGAGTATGCTTAATCCATACCGTACCGCTGGATCACATGACATTGTGCCAGCCCAGAGCTCAAGTTCTCTACAAGGCACTGAAACCTCTCCAACGCCGTTTGTATCCATCATGGAGTTTGTTAGTGAAATTTATCAGGTATGTTTCATCAAGAGGCAGTAGATTTAATGAAATATCCTAACTATAGAATTAGTGGCTGATGTCTGTTAATTTATGTATTGCTGCTCTTAGGAGATCTTCATTCCACGTAGTTATACCAATTAATCCTATTTGCTTGCTCGTTTTAGTGAAGAGAAGCCATCAAACCTTTGTTTTTAATATTCATGATTTGAACGGCTAGTATTCATTTGATTGGGTTTTACTTTTATCATGAATTCATTACCTGAAAGGCTTTCATTAAATTATCAGAAAGAACCAGAGCTTTTGTCTGGAAATGAGGTGTTATGGACATTTGTAACTTTTGCTGGGGAGGATCATACAAATTTTCAAACGCTCGTAGCTTTCCTGAATATGCTCAGCACCCTGGTACGAGAATTTTCTGGTTGTTTAGAGTATGAGATCTCAATCTTGTCCACCAGCTTTTATTTTATCCTTCTTTTGTTTTCATATTGTAAAACTCCTCTTTCAGGCTTTGAGTCGGGAAGGTGCTTCAAAAGTTTATGAGTTACTGCAAGGTAAAGCATTCCGTTCAATAGGGTGGAGCACTTTGTTTGATTGCTTAGCAATCTATGATGAGAAATTTAAACAGTCCCTTCAAACTGCTGGAGCAATGTTGCCTGAAATTCAGGAGGGGGATGCAAAAGCTCTTGTGGCATATCTGAATGTTCTTATGAAGGTTTGACTTTACCTATCATTTGTCATGTCATTTTGTGTTTAGGTGTAATTTACGGTGCACTTGGGAGTTTAGGATAGAATGTAATGGAATTACTGAAATGGGATGGAATAGAATGAAACATTCCTGTATTTGGGAGTTTTATGGGGAGAGGGAATGGTCTCATCTAGTTATTGTTGGGGAGTTATTATACAATTAGTGGAATGGAATGGATTGAAACTTTTTCCCCCCAATATCGGACTTTTCAGTTAATTTAGACGGTAGCCTGTGGATATCTGTTTTTTCTTTTAGCGTTTTGATCTAACATGATTACTTGGTTTGAACATCTTCCAAAAATATAATTAATGGCTATTTTCATTCGATAAAACTTTTTTTTTTTTAATGAAAAATATTCATAATTTTCTTATTTTTTGTAGATGGCCTTTCATTTTCAAATTAAAAATTATATCCATAATTAATAATTAGTAATTAATTAAAGGTAGAGCCAAACTGGGTGTAATCCTCCTCGGACCTCACAATGGGAGCTTTGTGCACTAACATACCCCGTACTTGTTTAAAATATTTGATATTGAATAATGAATAATTGAGTTATCTATAAAAAAAAAAAAGCAACAAGTTTTATCCTCTTATGTGGCGTTGGCTACATGGATTGTGCAGTGCCGTTGTGTTATATTAGCAGCCAAATCTTTGGATATAGAATTATAAATTATAATTATCAGAAGAACTTAACCTAAACTCTTTGTTTTTGGTTAATTTGCCAACATCTTGTTTCTTCGTGGATAATACCCTCATTTTACTTATTTATTTATTTTTTTCTCTAGTTGCAAGGCGTAGTAATGTTCTTATCATCTAATTGTCTGGGGTACAGGTTGTGGAATATGGAAACCCTATCGAAAGGAAAAATTGGTTTCCTGATATTGAGCCATTGTTCAAGCTTCTTAGTTATGAAACTGTGCCTCCGTATCTGAAGGTATGCCAGCTTTATGTCGTGGTTCTGGCTGTTCTGCTTCAAATTCTTGCACTGTTCTTCTAACAAGCATGTTTTGTGAAACTAGGGTGCTCTGAGGAATGCAATAGCTACATTTGTTCGTGTTTCTCCATTATTGAAGGATAGCATTTGGGCCTATCTTGAGCAATATGATCTACCTGTAGTCGTTGGGCCTCAATTACAGAATGGTCCACAACCCCTAGCTACTCCGGTTGGTTTATTGGACTTAGGGATAAGTGTTTCCAAAGTACCTTAGAAAATATTTCTACTATGGAACATATTTTTGTTTCTTTACTGTCTCTTTTTGTATCACATACTCTCACTGGTCTTCTGCTTTCATATTATCATATTTTATGAAAACGATTGATCAATATTGAAATTTCTGAATAATATTGAGAGCGTATGATCTGTTTATTCACTTGTATAGTTGTACATGATAATTAGACTGGGTCACTGGGGCAAAATAATGCACATAAATGCAGATATAAACTTTCCTAAATAAGTAATTTGACTTAGTCGGAAAGATCGCATCTCATAATGATATAATTCCAAACATAATGCTTTATTATTGACTGATCTCCATGTCGAGTTGGTGAATAGAAGTTATCTGTTCACATCTTGGTGAGGACTCTTTCAAAAACTGTGAGATCAAGCCATTTAGAGAGAATATTGGCTAGTTACCCCTAGGCTGAGACAAGGAATACAAATTGTGTCATTTTGCAATTTGTACTTCATGAAGTGTCTATCTACTTCAATGTGCTTTGTTGTATTATGTTGCATTGTGGGCGTCACTGGTTGTTAATTTCTTTTTAGAGTTGAACAAAATGAAGCATGAATATCACATATATTATTCTGGTTTTAATGATAACTTATATAGAAGCTTCATAGCTACAATCCTGTTATGAGAATCCCCAAGACATGGGCAAAAAATAAGGAATAACAATGATAACTACAAGCTTTGGTCCACCACGTAGGATTGTAGGTAAATGATAAGGAAATTAAATGAAAATAAAATATGAATATGATTCCCTAAAAATCAGCCTATAACAACAAGAAGCAGCCTTATCCCACTAGGTGGGGTTAGCTATATGAATCACATGATGTCCTCGTGCTTTGTTAACAACCTAGTTTTTGGATATGTTGTTGACTAGGAAGTCTCGCTCAATAATCTCATTGAGCGTTCTTCTCGGTCTTTCTTTGCCTTTTTTTATGGGACTCCATATTGTCTGATTTACCTTTCTTACCGGGGCCTTCAATGGCCTTCTTTGCACATGTCTAAACTATCTTAAGTGATTTTCAACCATTTTCTCTTAAGATAGGTGCCACACCAATTTTTGCTTTGATATTTTCATTTCGAATCTTATCTTTTCTTGTATGACTACACATCCATTTTAACATCCTCATTTTTGCTACCCCAACTTTGTGCTTTGGTAGCTTTTTTCCACTTTAACCAGCCAGCTTGTATTCTATGATAAACGTCTTTATCAATTTCACCATCCTCATGTATAATGGATCCAGGGTATTTAAATTTTGATGCTTGAGGAATAATTTGATCCCTCATTTTCACGTCCAAATCACTATTGTTTTGCTTTCCCTCCAAAATTGCAATGCATATATTCTGTTTTGTTCCTATTAAAATGAAAACTTTTTGACTCCAAAGTTCTTCTCCGTAACTCTAATTTAGAGTTAATCTCTTCTTTTGACTCTGCCATGAGGACTATGTCATCCGTGAAAAGCATGGACTTAGAGATTCTTTCTTGAATAAGCTTGGTTAGAACATCTAGAACAATATTAAACCGATAAGGCCTTAAAGAAGATCCCTGATGCAGGCCAATCTTAATGGGAAAGTCTTTTGTCTTACATGCAGGTGTTCTTACACTAGTAGTTACCCCTTCATACATATCTTGTATAGTTTTGATATAAGCAACCTGTATACTTTTTTCTCTCCTAAGGCTTCCAAAGTACTTATCTTGGCACACGATCATGAGTTTTTTCCAAGTCAATAAAAACCACATGTAAATCTCTTCTTTTATTCTTATATCTTTCCATTAACTCTTTTACCCTTTTAGTAAATAGATTGTTTTAGTTTCAGTTGTGGATCTCCCCAGCATAAATCCAAATTGGTTCTCTGAAATAGAAGTTTCCAACCTCAATCTATGTTCAATCACTTTTTTCCACAACTTCATTGTATGATTTATAAGTTTTATCCCTCTGTAGCTTGTACAGTTTTGAATGTCTTTTTTATTCTTGTAAATAGGAACTAAAATGCTTCTCCTCTAATCATCCGGTATATTTTTAGAACGTAAAATTTCATTAAAAAACTTAGTTAGCCAAGTTCACTCTACTCGCCCAAACACTTCCAAACTTAAATAGGTATACTATTAGGCTCAACGGCTTTACCATTGTCCATTTTCATAAGAGCTGCCTTAACCTCTTCGATATGGATCCTATAGTAAAAAGCCAAATTCTGATTATCTTTGCTAATTAGCAAATCCTGTAAGTCCTAAGTCACAAATTCGCTTTTCTCATCAAACAACTTGTAAAAGTATGCCTCCCATCTGTCCTTAATATCACCATCAGTAATTAGCACTTTACCATATTCATCTTTTATACACTTCACTTGGTCTAGATCTCTCTTTTTCCTCTCCCTTTGATTCGCAATTTTGTAAATATTTTGTTTTCCTGCCTTTGTTCCTAACTCCTGATAAAACCTCTCATAAGTTTTAGTACGTGCTTGGTTCACTGCTTTCTTTGTCTCTTTTTTAGCCAAATGATACTTTTCCCAGTTTTCTGTACTATTGCACAAATGTATGGTCTTAAAACAATCTCTTTTCTATCTAACTTTCTCTTACACACTCTTATCCCACCACCAAGTCTCCTTATTTCTCTAACCACGACCTTTGGATTCTTCCAAAATTGCTTTAGCTACCATATGAACCTTTGTAGCAATCTCTTCCCACATCATGTTCGCATTTTCCTACCACTCCCAGATCCCTTCCTCCAAAAAGGTCCTTTTGAATAGCTCCTGCTTCTCATCTTTTAACTGCCACCACTTAACCCTGGGTTTTACCACTTGATGATGCTTTTGTCTGAAACTCTTAAAATGTGCATCAAGAAAAAGTACTCTATGTTGGGTAGTCATCCTGTATGTGATTAAATGCTCCTCATGCTTCTTAAAACAGGTGTTGACAATCTTGAGATTGTATGCAAGAGAAAAGTCAAGAATAGATTGTCCTCTATTATCGAGCTCCCTAAAAGCAAAACTGAAACCAAAACCAAATTGTCCTGCTTCCATGCCCACATGTCTATTAAAATCCCCATCGATAAATTTTTTTTTTCAAATGGTATGCTTTGAACCAACACCTCCATATCTTTCCAAAACTTATCTTTAAGGTGTGTTTCTGCTTTAACCTGAGGTGTATAGGTACTAATGATATTGATAGTATCCTTTCCAACAATTACTTTTAAAGATATTATTCTGTTATCAATCCTTTTAACCTCCGCCACATTCTTTTTTAATGTTCCATCAACAATGATGCCAACACCATTCCTTGCACTCACCTTTCCTGTGTACCAAAGTTTATACCCTCCAAGTTTCGCTGCAACTTCTCTAGTCCATTTTGTTTCTTGGAGGCACAAAATATTAATCCTTCTGTCCCTCATAACTCCTACTACCTTCATAGATTTCTCATTCAATGTCCTAATATTCCAAGTGTCAAATCTAATCTTGCTCTCATGAATTTCTTTAGCCACCTCCGTCCAAGAGAGTGCGGTAGCTCTTGCTTATTTAACACGACATCTGAGCGATGATGCAGCGGCTCTAGCTCACTTATCACTGTACTCGAGCCATACAGCGCGTCAATTCTAGGCAACGACCTAACATTAGCATAATTACTTTGTTGATCCATGTTTATGAGATTCGACAGGTTTTTACGTTAGCTGTGGAAGGCCTAACACAACTCTCCCTCTGATCCGGGCTTGGAATCGGCTATATAATATAGACGGAGTTATTCCTAAAAATCAGCATTTCAATGAAATAAGATATTAATAGAAATATAGACAAAAAATCTTGCTAACACTCCCCTTCATGCTGGCGGATAGAAATTTGACAGTCCTGGCTTTATTGTATAATTCTTCAAATCTTGCTTTGGAGATCCCCTTGGTGAGTAAATCTGCAAGACTTGTGATTCAGTACCACCACAAATATTGCAGCTTCTTGGTTTCTTATTTGCCATAGGATTGCTGACCCCAAGTGTTATTTGTCTTAATCCCTTTGGCGCTTCACTTCTATTAGGCCCCTCATCCTTGAATTATTGTAGTTCTGCGATTCTCATGCTGTTAAGAAGTGTTCTTCTCATCCGTTTGCTACTTCTTTCTCTAACCAAGCAATGTAGGTTTTGACAAATTCAACTTATGATCAAGTTATTAAATGCATCTTGACATACAACTGCACTTCTTTGTTGCCTCAAATGCATGAATTCCTTTATTGAGTTCTCATACACAAGTCCAAATCTCTTGATAGCTTTTTTGTAGTGTAATTATGGAATGTCTTGGTCCTGAGCTTTCTCATAAGCTTGATGTGATTTTTAGCTCTTCTCTTCCAGTGCAAACCTGCCTTCTTTACCTTTTAGTCCTCATGTCCCTTGTGTAATCCAAAACAGGCTTCACACTTAGACAACCACCCCATCACATCTTCCTAACAGAATTTTGGAGATTTCATCTGGGTAAATCTTTTGGGAAGGTGACAATCTTGAGACTTGCCTGAGTTCCTCTTCACTGTACTTCTATTTTGCTTGCTTTCATTTCGTTGAGCTGCCTCTTTCTCACCCCTTTGGTAATTTCTGAATACCTGCTTTATGTTCTTCTATTGACAAAATTCTTTGAGCAATGCTGTTCACAATCCACTGGTTAATCATGTTGCACACCCTGTCCTCCATGTCCAGCCACAAGCATGTTGCCTTATCCTTGTTATTAAAGATGATAGGTATGCTATCACTTCTTATGGGGATGAAGATTGAGAGAGGGAGGGGTTGGATGAACTGAGTTCCTTCATCGTTAACTTTCTTATCCTGCTTACTTCCTTTAGCTTCAGCTGAGTTCATTATTACTCCTACCAACTCAGCTGCTCATTACAATTATCTTATGCATGATCACACATGAAACATTATCCCCCCCCCCCCCCCAAAAAAATAATACAATATTGCTAGATTTACATTATGAAAGGAAGAATATATACGTTGATGCACAAAATATCAAATAAAGGGTGATAATCAATCTGCACATCTATTGGTTGTGTTGTGTGTTATAATACTGAAATCCAAGTTTGCATTGACTTGAATAATGAACATAATTTTTGTGTTCATTAACCATTGCTTTCTATGCTTGCTCCACTTCTTTCATTTCCTTCTGTTAGAAAGCCCCTGATTCTCTCCCCTGCATCAATTTCAGCATTCGTTTCCATTGGGTGAGTCGGGTGAGGAGTGTTTGTGGGGTTTTGGTGCTCTAGTGGAGGTGTAGGACTAGGGGTTTCTGGTTCCGGTTCAGGGACAGTGATTTCTTCTTGTGGTATGGCAGGTTCAAGAGGGGTGGTAAGATGTGTGTTGGGATTGGTCGTAGGTTCAGGTGTAATTAGCCATTCTACTCCATAGTGCTCCCCCTGAATGGGTAATTTGGGATAATAAGCATCATCCTCATAAAAAACTGTGTCGTTGGATATTATGAGTTTTCTGGTAGTAGGACAATAACACTTATATCCCTTTTGGGTGGAGGAATACCCTAGGAAAATACATTTTTCTGCTCTAGCATCAAGTTTGCCCCCATCATGTTTATGAACAAAGACGACACACCCAAAGACCTTTTGAGGGATGGTATTGATGATAGGTGAGGTGGGGTAGGTCTCGAGGAGTTTTTGAATGGGGGTAGTGAAATGGAGAATTTTTGAGGTCATTCGATTGATGAGATAAGCAGCGGTTAGCACAGCATCTCCCCAAAACAGACTTGGAACATTTCTTTCCATCATAATAGCTCGGGTTACTTCTAGAAGATGCCTATTTTTCCGCTCAGCAACTCCATTTTGTTGAGGAGTATAGACACATGAGGTTTGGTGATGGATTCCTTCCTGCTCAAGAAATTCCCTAAAGGCTCCACTCACATACTCTTTGGCATTGTCACTTCTTAGAACTTTGATGGGAGTTTGGAATTGGGTTCTCACAAAAGAGTGAAAGTTTTTGAAAATTTGTAAAGCTTCGGATTTTTCTTTCATAAGGTAAACCCATGTGACCCGGGTGTGATCATCGATGAATGTAATAAACCACTTTGTGCCTGTTCGGGTGTTGATTTTGGCTGGTCCCCAAATGTCAGTATGAATCAATGTAAACGGGGCAGTAGGTTTGTAAGTATGTTTGGGATAAGAGGCGCGAGTTTGTTTGGCAATTTGACACGTTTCACATTGGAAAGGAAAAGAATTTTTATTGAATAAAGTTGGAAACACATGCTTCATATAATCAAAGCTGGGGTGGCCTAATCTTTGATGCCACAACATTACATTTTTATTCTGAGAATTAGAGCTAACCATAGCTTTCTTGGCTCCTGCAGTCTTCATATCTTTTCCTTCAAAGTAGTAGAGTCCATCCCATTCTTTAGCAGTCAAAATCTTCCTCCCCGAGGTCGAATCCTGAAAAACACACTTAACATCATCAAAGATTACCCGACATACTTGTCCTTTAGTCAATTTGCTCACAGATATAAGGTTGCAGGTAAGAGCAGGAACAAACAAAACATTATGGATTTTCAGATCATCAGATAGGGCCACAATGCCAACACCCTCAACTTTAGTATATAGTCCAGTTGCTACTTTTACCCTAAGGTTCTCATGGCAATATTTGAGGGTTTTGAAGAGGGACTTATTACCAGTCATGTGGTCTGTAGCACCGGAGTCAACAATCCAGGTTTCATCACCAGTTACCATTGCATTAAGGGCTATAATAGAATTACCTGACTGAATCAAGTTCACGTTGGGAACTGATTTTGATTTGTTTTGTTTTTCAAGTATCTTACGAAGCATTTGAAGCTCTTCTCTGGTCAACTGGTCTCCCTCATCACCTTTTTCTTCAGAGGAGGTGTGGTGGCTTTTTCTATCTTCCCGTTGTTTCTGCTTCCCTTGGGTTGGTTTCCCATGTAGTTTCCAACATTCGTCTCTGGTGTGGCCTTTCTTGTTACAGTGATTGCACCACTTGTTCCCTCTCTTCTCAGATCCCTCGAATGTTGGGGACCTCCTCATGACTAATGCTGAGCCATCTACTGGGGTTTGGTTACCCTGAGTGAGGTGTCTCCGGCTTTCTTCAAACTTGACCATACTGAAGACTTCAAATAGGGAGGGAAGCGGTTTTAGACCCATAATTCGGCCTCTTACTTCTTCAAAGACATCATTCAAACCCAATAGGAAGTCATAGGTTCGTCCCTTTTCCACCAGGTGTCTGTAGTAATTAGCATCATCCATGTCCTTCCAAGGATGAACTTCAAAGAGATCCAACTGCTGCCATATCTTCGTTAAAGTGCTGTAATATTGCGTTACAGTTAAGTTTCCTTGCTTCAGATCTTTGAGCTGCCTCCTTAGATCCAATAGGGCTGCAGTGTTGTCTAGTGTGGAGTAAGTCCTCTTAGCAGCGTCCCAGATTTCCTTAGCTGTGCTTGCCAAGAGGTATCCTTCACTGATTTCAAGAGTCATTGAGTTGCACAGCCAAGACATCACCTGATTATTTTCAGCAAACCAGGTGTCAAATTTGGGGTCATTATGTGAAGGCTGTTTTGCCTCTCCATTGATATATTTCTCCTTACGCTTCCCACGTAGATACATTAATACACTTTGAGACCATTGGAGATAGTTGCTACCATTAAGTTTGTGAGCCACCACCATAGCTTGATGTTCAGAGGTTAGGGATGGTTCTGGATCAGAGGCTTGAGAGGTGACTAAAGGTGAAGAAGGAGTGCTTTGAGTATTTGAGGATGTACCGGACATAAGGGCCATTGGAATATTACGAACGGACCCAAAAAGGGGTGGGAATTCTGATGGGTTCATTTTCTGGATCTCTGGGAGGCACTGTTGGTTTTTCCGGCGGCGGCGCGTGCAATTCACGCGCAGAGGCAGTGGCGGCGCGTGGGCTTCACGCGCGGAGCTTGTGGCGGCGCGTGGGCTTCACGCGCAGCTCCGTTCGGCGTCGTCTTCAAGGGATGCGCCGATCTGAGGACGCCGGTGAGGACTGGAGGGGCGGTGTCGTCCACGGTCAGCTCCTGGCTTCAGATCTGGGACGCCTCACTCTCTCTCTCTCTCTCCTCGCGTTCTCTCTCTCTCTCTCTCACGGCAGCAACGCACGAATTTTTCTGGGTTCAGGAGGAACCCTATGCTCTGATACCATGTTTACTTTGCTGAATATTTCATTCTCATATCTTATTCCATATGATTGAGTTACAATATATAGAGTCCGGATGAGAAAATAATATCCGGTTACAATCAATCTCAATAAATTACATATATTGCAATATCTCAATAAATCAGGAAATATATCTTCTAGCTAATATCATGGGCAATAAATGGAGAGAATCAAGGGAGATAATCAGGGGAGATAATCAGGGGCTTTCTAACACCTTCCATGCCCCTTAGTTACCCTCAGCATATTAACTTCCTATTTTTTCTCATTTGCAAATAAATTTGTAAATCTTACAGCTTTATGACATGCAATTTGAATTGAACGAAATAGAAGCAAGGAGGGAACAATATCCTTCGACCATATCTTTCATTAACTTGATAAATACTCTCATAGCTGAAGAGAAAGACATGAGTGATAGAGGGCAAAGGTACTGGTCCCTTTATCTTTGTATTATTCTTGACGTTTTTTTATTTCTTTTTAATGCTCATACTCATCTTAGATGTTTCTTTGTATTTTTCACAGATTTATTGGCATCTTTAGGTTCATCTATGACCATGTTTTTGGGCCATTCCCTCAGAGAGCTTATGCTGATCCTTGTGAGAAATGGCAGTTGGTTGGTGCTTGCCTTAAGCATTTCCACATGTGAGTGGTTCCTTTTCCGTCAATTGAAAAGTTATTAGCTTTTTGCCTCTTTCCCTTCTTTGATGTCATTCACCATTCATAATTGACTCAATCATTTTAATCCCATCTACCTGAATAACATCAACAACCTTGCAGACTCTTCACTTAGCTGTCTGTAACCCGGTTTAAACTGTTATGCTTTTCAAACTGTAGTTGGAGAATGTTAAGTCACAGAATTTTATTAAAACTTATACACTGCAGGATGCTAAGCATGTATGACATCAAGGACGAGGACATTGAGGGAGTAGTTGATCAATCTCGAATTTTAACTGCTAAGGAATCATCATCACTTCAGGCACAGCTCCCTATTTTAGAGTTGCTAAAAGTATGTGCTTTCCCTGCTGTTTGTTTCCATTTTTCTGCTGAGAATTTTCAGTGTAGCTTGTGGAATGGCCTATACATAATAATAAAACGTTTCTCTATTAAGTGATGGTATATTTTATCCTTGGTTGTAAATTCTAACTCGTGTGGGACAGTTGACCTTATAACCTTCTATGCTTTGTTGGCCAGTACTATGGACTGTGATTTGGTCCTTTACCTTTAGGCGAAGCATTGCATACTTTCCTTGATTTGTAATGTCAACCATTCCTTCAAGACCTTCAAGAAAGAACATCCAATCTTGGTTGTTACCTTAATAATGATCGACTCACACTTGATTTCCCTGGCAAACTAATTTGTGTATGTGTGTATTTAAATATTGATGTCTGAATTTTTTTCGTTGAATGTTTTTGTCTGATATATAATTTAATTAAATTTGAAAATATATTTTTTTATGCCTCACAACATTAAAAGGAGGTATAACACTATGCTTTGCCATTATGGAAAGCGAAGCATTGATTCACAAACTGCTTACGAATTATGATTGATCAGCAGCTGTTTGTTGAACAAGTTTTATATCCTGTTATTCCCTGCTCTTCCTTGTACGGTTTTATAAAAATCTAGTTCCTTTTAATTTGCAGGGCTACTGCATCAATTGTTTTTAGGCATTTTGCATTTTGGATTTCATTTTTAGTTAACTGATTCTCTCATTATTTTATGTTTTCTAAATGGTTTCAGGATTTCATGAGTGGTAAGACTGCTTTCAGAAACATCATGGGTATTCTTCTGCCCGGGGTAAATTCAATCATTGCTGAAAGGAATAGTCAAATATATGGGCAGCTTCTAGAGAATGCTGTGCAACTTTCTTTGGAAATTATTGTACTTTCCCTTGAGAAGGATTTACTTCTTTCTGATTATTGGCGACCTCTATACCAGGTAAACTTTTCGCTTTCCTAAATATGCTAGTCAACAGTTTGCATTTGTTTGAAAAACTCATTTTAAACTGCATGCTTTATCCTTTCTTTTGGTTCATGAGTTTTAACCAAGTTTACTAGTAAGTTTTAAACAGTGAATGGTTTCACAGATTCATAATTAACTATTTTTCTTGTTAAAGTGAGATATTGTTTTTTGGAAGTCCACAATTGAATATCAAGGATTTTTTTTTTTTTTTAATTTAAAAGGGACCATGACCATTGTGCCACTATAACATAGTGATCATGAAATTCAGCAAGCAAGCTGATGCACTTGACTACTACCTTTATTTAATGATAGAGCAAGTGCATCTAATGATAGACCTTCGTATTGTACACGATTTATATAAGGAAAAATAAGTTAACTATTCACTGAGCCAAGGGAGACACAATTTTGATGTGAATAATGTCAACTGTGTATTCTGAGCATGAATGTTTGGTAGAGATATCTATAATTTGTAAGATTTGTGTTTTAAGGATTTTATTTTGAATTTTGAATTTATATTATCCTTTAAAAGGTGAAATTTCTTTGTTTTTCTAAAAAGACAAGGTCTATAGGATTACCTTATCCTGTCTAGGATTAAGTTATTTTAGAATTTGAATAGCTGTTATCCTATCTTTTAGGATAATAGTTGTAGAGTTGAAATTGGTCTGGGATTAGGGCTCTATTCGTAGCCCTAGAGTTTCTTTATTTGTCAGACCTTTTGATTAGTTGAATAATATTGGATATTGAGCCCTCTTTGCCCTTGGTTTTCGTCTGTTTCTCTGCTTTCTCTATCTCTCCCTCTTTCTCTTCTCTCTCTGTCCTCCCCTTTTCCTGTTTCACTTCAATGCTAACGAAAGCTCATGTTGTAATATTTATGGTAGGACTTTATAGTTCTATTTTGTGATATCTTTTTCTTGCCTTGTGTCATCTTTTGATCATGAACTGATTTTGCACTTACATTCTATGGAATGTGGTAACTTTTTAGTGATTGGTCTATAATCTGCCTATGCAGCCTTTGGATGTTATACTCTCCCAAGATCATAATCAAATAGTGGCTCTTCTGGAGTATGTCAGATATGATTATCAGCCAAAAGTCCAGCAATCTTCTATCAAAATCATGAGTATTTTAAGGCACTCCGGTCTCCTCTTAGTCTCTTAATATTGAGTTATCGAATAGCCATCTGATTATCTCGCTGGATGTCACTCATAATGACATGCTATTGACGTAAGATCATTTTGTGATCACAGTTCCCGCATGGTTGAGCTTGTTCAACTGTTGCTAAAATCTAATGCTGCAAACAGCTTGATAGAAGATTATGCTGCCTGCCTTGAGCTGCGGTCAGAAGAGTCTCAGATTATAGATAGTGCTAATGATGATCCAGGCATCCTTATTATGCAAGTTAGTCTTATCCTGCCTCTTCTCTGTATATTCCAACAACCTGTCTTCAATTCTCTGCCTCTGCATGTGCTTAATTTTATAAATTGCTATTCTCATATATGATTTACTTATCTGCAGCTTCTAATTGACAACATCAGCAGGCCTGCTCCAAATATCACTCATCTGCTACTGAAATTTGATCTCGATGCTCCTGTTGAGCGCACAGTTTTGCAGCCTAAATTTCATTACAGGTTTAATCTTACGTTGCTATTAAATTGATTGTTGTAGAATAGAACTTTTATCTTATGCATATTAACAGTTGCATGAAGGTTATCCTTGACATGCTGGAGAAGCTTTTGAAGCCTGATGCGAATGCATTACTTCATGAATTTAGTCTTCAGGTCAGATAGCATTTGAGATTTAGTTCATTTTGTTTGCTATACAAATATACATTTCTAGAACAATTCATGACGTTTTGTTTGATTCAGCTCCTTTATGAGCTATGCGTGGATCCATTAACATCTGTTCCTACAATGGATTTGCTATCCAACAAAAAGTATCAATTCTTTGTCAAGGTAGCGTGTTTTTTATGTCATTGATGTTCTGGCTCTTTTTTGCTTCTGGCCAAGGAATCATCTTTTCTCCTTATTCTTACATCTCCGGATTACCTTTTCTCTCTTCCATGCAGCATCTTGATACAGTTGGTATCGCTCCACTTCCAAAACGGAATAACAACCTATCCCTTCGTATCAGTTCCCTTCATCAGGTGTCTTTACAAACTACCAATTTCTATTCTCTAGTTTTCTCCATATATAATTTGAGAATGAATCGTGTGGCTGATGATTATTGGTTGTCTATATTTGCCATTAATATTGCTTTGTTCATGTGCTTCTAGGAACTTTTCATTTATATATTCATGGAAATTCAGGATTTGATTTTCCTCTAAACTTTTTCTGGCGGAGAAACATTACATTTACAGATTTCCCCCCCTCCATAATGTTTGGGGGTTTGAATTTGAGTCACCACCTACATCTCACCTACTCTTACCACCCTAACTAACCCAAGTGGGTTTATCCTTCTTCGTGCTTGGCATTTCTAGCCCTTTGCCTTACTTAAATTACTTTGAAGCAAGGGCCTTGCTTTTTGGCATACTCTCCTTATCTTTTTGCGAGGTAGAGATCTTGATTTGTTCTAAACATTAATGTACAGTTCTCTCACACAATCACGGATGTGTTGTTTTTAATTCTTTGAATGCCTAAGGCATTGCCTAGTATTATAGAATAAAGATAGGAAGAGGAAAAAGAGGGACGGAATAAGGGAAGACAAAAGAGGGGAACAGAGGGCAAAAATTAGTTCTCACTACTCATACTCATAAGCCATCTTAACAACTAGCCCCACCCATGGTTTATCGACTAAGGCAATAACAACTCCTAACATACTTCTAACTACCTTTAAACAACTTCTTTTTTAATATATTTATATACCATCCAGACTGCAAAAATAAACCAGTCTTGGTCAAAATAAAGCAAGTTAAATCACTTAGTCAATACAGTTTCCAAAAACTTCTATGTTGTGAAGGGAAATGATGGAAAAATTATGGATGTATAATGACCAAGTTTCAAAGAATGGTTTTTTGTCATATAATTATAATTCTAAATAAAGAGGAAAGGGGAATAGGGAAGGGAAAGAGGAAAATAGAAGCGTTGAAGGAGATAGACGAATTAAGGAGTTCAAGAGAGTCAAACAGTAAGAGGGAAAGTTGAGAGAATCAAAGTGAGCAATGCAACTATATTATTCATATGCAATAATACAATTGATAGGTTCATCCTGTCTATTGGCCTAGACTGGTAAGGTATATAGCTAAGGTAATTCCTAACTGCTTCTGCCTAACTTTTACATTTTATTTTTATTATTATTATTATATAATATACCCCCTCCCAAAAGTGATCCTTGCCCTCAAGGATTAGTACACTAAGAAATGTCCCAAACTGGAACCAAAGAGCATCTTGATTAATTCCCCTTTAAACCAAATCTGATTTAGAATTCTTGTAGGAAGAAATTGAAGATGAGAAACCTAATTAAAATTGATCATTGGAAGCAACAACTCTTGGGCTCTTTTCTTGAAAGACAAAGTCCATAAATACAAAACCGATTAAAGCATACTTTTTTGTTGGGAGCTGTGTCTTTGATTCCTTTGCCAGGCTCATTAGATTTGTCATTGTTGAGTTAATGAGAGCTTCGACAGCTTCGACAGAGGCTTGAATGTGGTGGTATTATGGAGGGTGTTTTCATCATTTTACTTCTGGCCTGGTGGAACCCATCGGAAAAAGATGTGTTCTTTAAGATTATATGTTTGCTTGACATGTGCGGAGAGACCCAAGCCACTTGGGACTTTCTTTGTGTCTTTGCTCTTCTCTATCGCATGTGAATGTGGTAATGTTGACCTCAGGAGGTTTGATTGCATGATTCTGACTCCACTGCGCCCTGTCTATGCAAGTTCTGCATATCTGCCACCTCCTTTGGTTCTTGCACTTTGACGCATTTTTATGTCGCTGATGAAGATCCATCATCTTCATGTATGACAGGAACTCCTTGCCCTTTGTCATATTTCTCTTCAGCAGGTCTGCCTTCTTGATGGCTCATGGCTGTGTGTTATTTCACCAACCTCCTTTCCTCCATTTGCAAGATCTTTTGTTCTTGAGCAAGGTTTCTTGTTTCTAGACGGGTGATTGGCCGAAACAATCTCAAACTCTGCAAGCTCTTCCTTAAACTCTAATACATAGGCACTGATAAGAGAGTCTCCGAGAAAATGTTATTTCTTGGTGAAGTTGACGAACTTTGCATTGTAATCTTTCACCATAACCTGCTGCACAATCCATGGAAGGACTTCTTGTACGGTTCTTGAACTTCCCATGCCCCATGGCCTTGATATCTTCAGCGACGATTCTTCAGTTTCGTTCAGCCCTTATTTTTCTCATCTTTTTTTCTTTCTAATCTTTTTTTCCTGGAGCCCTCTCCTCTAGTCCAAGGACGGAGTGACTCTTATACCATTGTTATGCCTTTGTATTATTTGAAGGGTATAGAGAGGGAAAGAGGACAAACAAGGAAGAACAAGAGAACAGAGGGTTAGAAGAAGAGACATATAAGAACTAAGGAATTTTAGGGAGAACAACAGTAATAGGGGAAGTCGAGAGAATCAGAGTGGGCAATGCAACTGTATCACTCATATGCGATCTGATAGAATGCAATTGCTAGGGGTATCCTATTTATAGGCCCAGACAAGTCGGGTATCTAACAGCTGGGCTAAGTCCTAACTTCTTCGACCTAACTATTACATTGTATTATTATTATATAACATTTTCATTCTAATTTAGTTAGGGTAGTACAGCTTGGATTATGATACCAAGCAATATCTCATGTTCCCTCTCCTGGAATTCTGATAGATAAGGATGTTTGTTTACCCAAATGTTCTATGATATTAAATCTTAATCTAATATGAAAATAAATAATAACTAACAGACAGGATAGTAAGTTGAACAAAAACAATAAATAAAAATAATTATTAATTCTTCAACACATTCAATTGTTGAGTTTCTTCAATATATTCTGTTCCCAGATGAATTAACTATTCCTTTGAATACGGGTACTGGTATAAGTAGTAATGAACTGAATATGAGGCAATATTCTAAGGATCATTTTGTGCAATCATGCATAAGATTGGGTAGTTTGTTGTTTGATGATAGTGAGAAATCAAGTTCGTGTTCTTTCTAATCATGATTTTAGCATTCTCTCTGGATCTTATTGTGAATTTTGTTTTCAGCGGGAAAAATTATTGATTGGAAAAAGAACTATATAGAAAGTTTGAAAACTGAACAATTGGATAGATATGCCCCAAACAAAATAGAAGACAGGAAACAACCTAGGCTCTTTAACTCAAGAGAGCCTTCAATCCCCTTTGAAGATTTGCAAACCACGTGCCCCCAAAAGAATTGTGTGGCTAATGATTTTTTATGCTTTGTCATTGTGCAATTTCAGCATGCTGTATTTCATTTTATGGTAATTTGCCAGGCGGTATTAAACTTCTTGTCAGGATGCTACTAATCTCTGGGAGTCTTTAACTATTGATGTATTGCCATTAAACTGTATATATTATGGTTGGGTTAACCCCTTGCATGCCCTCCTCAGAGAGCATGGCTGTTGAAAATTTTAGCTGTTGAGCTGCATACTGGTGACGTTAGTAGCTCTAAACACAAGGAAGCATGTCAGACAATTCTTTCATATCTTTTTGGACAAGGCATCACTGGTAGTGGTGGAGGCCAAACCTCATCTCTGTTAACTCTTCAAGATACTGCTGAAAATGCTGCTATAAGAACTGTCAGTAAGAGTAAGGTATTGTCAATTATTGAACATGTCATGGTCCCTTGGCTATTATGGAATGCTTTGTCATTTCAATATAGTAAATCTCGCACTGCTTGAGTTAATAAATGCAATGCTGTTTGTGGTATCAGTTACCCTTAGTGGCTCACTGATATCATTAACTTTCATGGCTGTTTTGATATTGCAATTATATGAGGTGACTGATCCATATTGCCATGCTACATGGCAGTGTGGTATCAAACAATGTTTGAAAATAGTGGCCAAGGCAGGAAATAATAAATCGGACATCTTATCGTGAGTAGTGAAGAACAGCTTATTTATGGTCTTAACATTTATATTGACAAGAACAAAGCACTTGCGTGTTGCTTGAGATGTCTTGTGAAGAAGTTTTTCAGCTGAGTTGACCCCTTAGGTTACATGGACCAAGAAAAAAAAGTTTGAGAGGTATACATAAAACTGAAAGTCTGACGCGTCTATAGTCTGCTTCTGGAGTTGAGGCAGTTAAATTACTAAACCTCTTAAGTTGAGGGCTTTCTTGCTTGCATTTTAGCCTAAATTAAATAGCTGCATGATATTTTCAATATCATATATGCTAAACTTATTGGAATTTACATGTGTATGGTATCAATTATTATTTTTATGCAATGTACATGATGCCCTTGTATCTTTGTTTTTTCCCTCAGAATATCATCTTCATCATCTTGTCTTCCTATTTTCTCTTGATTGGTTTTAAAGGTTATATATGTACCAGTGTTGGTTCTTTATTATGGATCGTATAAATTGATTGCAATTCATTTTTCACATGACTGAGTAGAATTTAAATATTGCTGGTTCTAATAAGTTTTAACTCATTTACTTTGAACTTAAAATGAAATTTTGGTAATTGGTTGGTTATTATTGTGCAGGCTGTAGGGTTCAAATCGATAAGTTATAATTCTAAATGGTTATGGCATGATAGTATCAAGAACAAGTTAGATGTTATGGAGACTTTTGTTTAATTTACAAATTATAATGTTTATTATCGTTCCCCTACCCAGTCTAGTCTAATTATGCGCCATAAAGCATCGGCAGAGTATGTTTTGTCTCACCTCTGTTAAGTGTAATCAAGAATGTATTGTGTTGTTTGTGTCTGTATAGTTTTGTTATTACCTACTAATACTGTACTCCTTTTCTATTACTTAGCTAAAGTTGTCTTACTGTCTTTCCCCTCTGTTTATCATTTATGTATTTTTGTTTTCTTATTCGAAATGCAGGTCTTAGAATTGCTTGAAATCATCCAATTCAGATCCCCAGATACCACTACAAAGCTTTCAAACATTGTGCCTAGTATGAAGTATGACTTGTTGGTGAGATGTTTGTCTATAAACTACATTACATATCATGTTTGTTTTTCTCCTCTTCATTTTTATCTTATTAATGTTTAGTAAAAAGCTTATTTCTTGGTATGGAATACATATTGTACCAAGATTCTTTTTGTTGGCTATGTTCATCATACTCTTCTGCATTGTGTCTCTGCTCTGCTGTTTGCACATATTTTAGGCCGAAGACATACTTGGGAATCCAGCAAATTCTGGAAAGGGTGGTGTCTACTACTATTCTGAGAGAGGTGACCGGCTAATTGACTTAGCTTCATTCCATGACAAACTTTGGCAGGTTGGTTCTGTTCAGTATTCTATGTGTTGGTTAGTTCACACTTCATTTATGTATTCCTGGGACAAGATATCTTGTGCCTTTCTTCTTTATGGTATTAAATATTATGAGAAATCTAATTTGATTTTTTGTTCCAGAAATTTAATTCTGCATATCCCCAACTGAGTAATCTTGGCAGTGGAGTTGAAATTAATGATGTTAAACAAACAATTCAACAGCTGATGAGATGGGGTTGGAAATATAATAAGAATCTTGAGGAACAAGCTGCACAACTCCATATGTTAACTGCCTGGTCCCAGATTGTCGAGGTGTGCTTCCTTCCTCCCATCTTGTTCCGAAAAACCAATCCTGGGCATTCATGTAATTGCTTAAGCTTTTGGCATGGCATGATCTGTGGTTAGTATGAGCGTTAGAGACTGAGGATGACTTGTTTGATTCTTGCTTTCCACATTCTCCTAGTCATATCAAATTTTAACAAAGTACGGTGGGCTTATTTTTATCTCTATGGTTCAAATCCAATGGGAGTTCACACGTTGAGGTGTGCCAAGGATATTAATTAAAGAAATGGATTGTTTGTGAATGGACTGACGTGCGTATTTTTCTGAAGCATTGTGTTGGACACGGGCCCACCTTTACTTACTATAGGAGGAAGCCCAATAACTGAATAGGTGATGCAGAACATGTGAGGATGGGCGTTTGTGGCAATGACTAGATGACAATTGGAAGGGATAGGTGTGTATTTGAGAGGGGAAATGTTTGAGGGGAGCATGGAAATTACTGGAGAGTAGTGAGGAGAGTGGTGCTTCTCGAATGCAAAGTGTGTCTGTCTCTCTTGTTTAGTGTAATTCCTCCACAAGACTATGCTCTATGGAGAAGATTATATCTGAATAATACTGTTCTGGAATGGTTTTCCATCATAAGGTATCATACCTTTCTGGACTAGCCTTCCGTTACATTGTCTGGGCTAAAGAAAAGCAGTGGGACATTGTGGGTGTAGTATCCAAACCATTTATCTATATATATAAAATAAAAGTATTGTGTTGGGGTAAGGTGGGTTTCATTGGGTTGAGATCCCAACTTATGCCATACCCTACTTTTCAATCTTTCCAAATTATGAGCCTTTTGATGTGTTGAACACCTTTTATTTTTTCATTTACTTTATTTCCTCCGCATTTTTTTTATCCTTCTTCATTTGCTTATCCTTTAAATAAAGGTAATATTTGGAAATTACGTCCTTCTAAAAAATTCTGTACCCTGTTGATGACGTTGTAACTTCCAAAGGATAGAGGGTGATCATCCACTTCCTTAATGGTCCAACTTTAACGCATATCTATTTGCATCAGCTATCTTATCTAACTTTATGCTATCTGCTCCTGCTAATCAACTTTCCAGATATCTGCTTCTAGAAGATTGACAATGCTTGAGGATCGTTCTGAAATTCTATTTCAGTAAGTCACTTGTGTTCAATTGGCAAAATGAAAGCCGCCATTTGTGATTGTGCTTCTTGTTGTTATGCTTTCTGTAACTTACATTTCATTGGCAGGATTCTTGATGCATCTCTTACTGCATCTGCTTCTCCTGACTGTTCACTAAAGATGGCATTTATATTATCCCAAGTAAATATATACTCTTGTCTGCAAATTTTCTAAATTTTTCAATGGGGCTTGCAACCTTTCAAACCTGTTCATTTATAAAATTTTGTCAGGTTGCATTAACATGCATGGCTAAATTACAAGATGAGAGGTTTTTGTTCCCTGGAAGCCTGAATTCTGACAGCATCATGTGCCTTGATCTTATTGTGGCAAAGCAATTATCCAATGGTGCTTGTCTTACCATATTGTTTAAACTTATCATGGCAATTCTTAGACCTGAATCGTCCGAAGCTTTAAGGAGACGGTATGTTACTACTTAAGTCACTAGAGATGGCTGCATTTTCATTTTTACTTTCAGCTTAGTAAGAAAACTTACCATTGCATGTCTTTTGCAGTCAATATGCATTGCTTCTGAGCTATTTTCAGTATTGTCAGAATGTGGTTGATCCAGATGTCCCAACCACAGTTCTGCAATTCTTGCTGCTCAATGAACAAGATAATGAATATATTGATCTCCCAAAGGTTTATTTTCTTCCATTTGAACTTGAACCCCCCCCCCCCCCCGGGGGGGAATTTAGTGATATTTAACTCCTCAGCATATGATGTTTTCCTTTTCCCCAGATTGACAAAGAACAGGCAGAACTAGCTCGCGCAAATTTTTCTACTTTAAGGAAAGAGGCTCAGAGCATCGTGGATTTAGTGAGTAGCTTAATAGAATTTCAATATACTTCTGGCTTTTTCCGTAATTTTTCAATATAGGAGTTTGAGAAGGGTCTTTACTTTGAGTGGAAATGACTTATCTTTGTTTGAACTGCTTAGAATGTGTTGGAGATATTTGATTTCCTCTTTGATCAAAATCTGTATGACAATGAGGCGCATGTTTTGCCGTTTTCTCATAATATTCTGCAAATTTTCTGTATTCTTTCATTACACTACTGTATGTTCAGTTCTTGATTTTACTTGTCCTATCCATTTCTTTTTTTTTTTTTTTTTTGGTTTTCCATTTTTATTTTTATATTCTGGTGTTTTGTATGCCTGATTCTTTACAATCCAATTTAGTTGATTAGTTAGTTTGTTTATATATTTTATATTATAAACTCCGCTGTTTACAGTTTCTAATTTTTCTAATTTGAAATTTTAGGTCATAAAAGATGCTACTCATGGAAGTGAACCTGGGAAGACAATAGCAGTCTATGTTTTGGATGCGCTGATTTGTATAGATCAGGACAGATATTTCTTGAACCAACTTCAGAGCAGGGGCTTTTTAAGGTCTTGCTTAACGAGCATAAGCAATTTTTCAAATCAGGTTTTTGTTCAGTGCACCATAAACAATTCATTCTATCTTTTCGCTATTATTTGTTTGGTGGATGGTAAATAAAAAGGAATGTACTCGAGGAAAATGAGACTTCTCTTTTTCTTATTATTATCAATTGTGTTTGCCCCTGGATAATTCTTTTTTTAGCCAAGGCACGAGGATAATTTTTCTTCCCAATCACATTCCCTTGCAATTCTTCAAAACATAGCATTAGACACCCTACCAACGGCCTGGTATCCTAGTGATATGAAAAGCTCACCGATAAGTGGGATGTTGTGCGGTTGAGCTTGTAACCTCACATTGTTCGCCTGTCTAATTAAAAAAAAATAAAATATTAGACACTGTGGTGCTATTGTTCTGAGTTTTATTTTTTCATTCCATTTGGGTCTGATTTATTTGTTGATTCTTTTGCCCTATTTTTTTGGTTATGATGCTACCTGCGTGCTTCTTCATTATCTTGAAGTTATTTAATTTAACTAGTTATTTTAACCAAGTTTGTTCTTTTCTTCACTTCTCATTTTTAAGTTTGTTAAAAGTTGGTAGATCTAAAGTCTGTTTGGATCGTTTCTCTAGGGCCTTTAGAATGGAAACGTGATTCCTTCGGACACTTGGGTTGTTTGGTAGGCAATTTTTATTTAGAATCCTTTTTCTCACGGGAAGTCTCATTCCCTCATAATTAAGAATGAGATCTTCTCTCTTTTTTTCCTTAAAGATCAATGCCTATTCCCATGTTTTGAGAATTGTTAGCGTCTTCTCTGAACAGTAGCTATTATTATTTATTTAATTTTGGTTTTTTCTTTCTTAGAATACCAGATTAGATGTATCTTTTAGATATCATTATGTCGCCTAACTTCTTGGCTAGAATTTGTGATATTACAACTAATCTTTGCATCCCAACAGCCCTATTTGTATTGGCTGAACATCTGTGTATTAAACAATTGAGTTTCATTCTCCCTTCATTCAAGAATTATCAAAATACAAAGATACCCTGCCTTTTCTTTCACTTGCACACACCATTAGCCTCATCTCAATTAGACCCTTTATTGACCTCATTCACACCTCTAATCCTTGACACCATTTTTGGTGCTTTGGTGACATCCACTGTAGATATGCACCAAATGAGATCATCACATGATTTCATCGTTGTCTACATTCTGGCCACACATGCCGGCATGTGCAGAATTGGTGAGACTCGAGTTGATGTGTGAGACTCGTGCCAATCCTGATTTAAACCTGTAGTTGGATGAGCTTGTAATGTAGTGTTTTGATAAGTGCAGGAGTAAATCTTTATCCATGTAAGCCTGAAAAGGCTGAGACCCCTTGTTCCTCAAAAGCTTAAGTTATGTAAAGGGATCCAAAAGCATATTATATGCACAACTAGACTACTGTTTAGGTTTATGTGAGATTATTCTTTTCTTTTTAAATTTTCCCTCCGATTTGAATTTTGAAATGCATGATAACTTCGAGCAAATCATTGATGTCTGAAAAGCAAGTGTCTTGAGATATTCTTGGTGTATGTGTTCTTATAACTTTTCATTGATGCTATTTGTCTCTTTTCTTGTTCAAGGATGGTGGGCATTCACTAGACTCATTGCAACGAGCCTGTACCTTTGAGGCTGAGCTTGCCTTACTCTTAAGGATCAGTTATAAGTACGGTAAATCTGGAGCCCAGGTATTATTTTCCATGGGCATTCTGGATCATCTTGTCTCAGGCAGGGCAATCAGTCTACAGGTATTTAGTTGTTAGCATCACTTTTCATTTGTCAGCTAACTCTACTGAAGCAGAAGTATCTACAGGGAGGGTTTAGGCGGGTTGAGACAAGACTTCGAAGAGATATGGCTGTGGATGTTGACAGGCAACAAATGATTGTCACTCCAGTTTTGAGATTAGTCTTTTCATTAACTTCCTTGGTGGATGCATCAAATTTTTTGGAGGTTGGCCTTCATAATATTTTCCCCAGTTTTTCAATTGGCTTTCTGAGTTGTGGCCATTTCCTGATAGTGAATCATCATTTGCTATCGGATGATGGTTGATCTCTTATCTACTCTTCACTTCTACAATTGGATACTTGTTTTAGGACAGTGATGATTGTGAGTTATGTTATTGTTGGTTCTCCAGCGACTGTATATTTTTTGGCTGTAGAAGTAGGAATACTACCTCCGGTCCTTAATAATTTTTCTTAACAAATAATTGTTTTTGTATTTTGTTGCCTCCGTGATAAGCTTATTCAAGTCTTTTAGAAATGTTGGTTACATTGATCAAATTGAGTAGCAAAAAACTTATTACAAGTGCTTGTGGGGAATTTTAAAGTTAAAACATGGTGAGTGCTTTTTCTCTCCCTATGTTTTGTCTAACCTTTATATCGTCTGCTCTGTTTGGCCCAAAACATGTTTATTTCTCTGTTTTTGCGTAAGAGAATAAATGATAATTATTGGTCCATTGATGAAAACGTGTTGTCTTTGTGTCTGTTGTAGGTGAAGAATAAGTTTGTCCGTGAAGTTATTGATTTTGTCAAAGGGCATCAATCGCTCTTTGATCAACTTCTTCGTGTAAATATTACTGAAGTAGATGGATTAAAACTGGAGCAGATCAATCTTGTTGTCGGAATACTTAGCAAGGTAAATGTTCACTCGCTTTGTTGATTTCTTAAGTAGTAGAACAGTTTCAGATGGGTATATTTTGGTTTGCTTCCATGCCAAAAGTATTGAATGGAATTGTATTATGTGAAAGACTCTATCTTCTATTATCCAGATTCCAAATTATTGCAGTCTTAATAGCACATTGAATATAAATGCCTGCCTATTTCTGCCTACTGATATTTGTCATCTCCCCTTCCCATGAAGCTGGAATTTGTTTTGGCTTTCATTTTGATTGTGCGCTGGTTGCAATTTGAACCCTATCTCTCTCTTTTTGTAGGTTTGGCCATATGAAGAGAGTAATGGTTATGGTTTTGTTCAAGGTCTTTTTGGTTTGATGCACACAATTTTCTCTCATGACGTGGACGTGTCTACTTTTGCTCAATCAATAGTAGTATTATCTCCCGAGGTGTATTTGCAGTTTTCTTCTTAATTGGTTTTGAAGTTACAATTAGTTATTGGATGATTCTGACACATTTGATCTCTAATCTTTGAATGATCACATTACTTGATGGATAATCAGAAACAGAGGAATTCAGAGCTACAAAAGTTTCGTTTATGCTTCAGCCTCAGCTCTTATTTATATTTTCTGGTCACAAAGAAATCTTTGAGATTGCAGGTAAGGCATGTATAAATTAAAAAGGAAGCAGTTAATGAGGCCAATTATACAGGGTGGCTAATTTATCTTTTAATTTTCTTTTTTGCAGCCTTCAGAGGCCTCCTCCAGTTACCCCACTTCTGTTGAAATGCAACAACCCTCGTTGGGCGAACTCAATTCTCTTCTTACATCTGTTACAGCTAGTCTAGAAAGAGCTGCTGAGGAGAAATTCTTGCTACTAAATAAGGTGCAATTTGGGGAGAAAACTGCATTCTCTATTTCTTGCAGTCCCACTGTTTTACCATTTTTGTCATTGTATGTTGATGTGCTAGTAACATCATGCATATGGTTTTCCAGATTCGAGATATAAATGAATTATCAAGGCAGGAAGTTGATGAAATCATCAATATGTGTGTTCGGCAGGAGTGTATTTCATCTTCAGACAATACACAAAAAAGGTAAATCATAGTATTATTTCCAGAAATGTGGAATCATAGTTCAAGAAAACTGAAAAATGTTGGTGTATAGAGTCAGGGATAATGGCCAAGCTCGCATATATTACGAGTAAATTATATTCATTATAACAATTATTATCATATTATTTTGATGTGATGTATGCTGATTTGGAGTAAGCAAAGGGAATGAGGTAAATTGTTCTTTTAAGTAAAAATAGGCATGAGACATTGTGCGTGCGTGCTTGCGCATATAATGCGTCTTTTCATCATAAAATATAAAGTTATGGGAAGTAATAAACAAAGAAAGTATTTTGTTGAGAGGAACGTTTGTGACGCAAAAGCAAAGCTATGATTGATTATAGTGAGGGAGAGAAGAGAAGAAAGAGGAAGTGTATTTTTTTTTTAAGAAATAAAAAGAAAGGCCAAAGTGCAATTTTTCCATTGGCAGTATTCTCGGGAAAGCTATGGGCACTGTAAAAAATTATGGAACAATGTGGCACATAATCTTTCAAAACTCATGCAATATTTCCTTTTTCAGTTTTGCCGATTACTTTAGTATCTACTAGAGATCCTGTTTACATTACTGCCAACAATCTATTGGGAAAAGCGGAAAGCGCTAGCATTATGGTTATCCTTTTGCATGCATTTGTAACTCCAATGTGTCCTAACCTGTCAGTAGACTTATTCCCTTAAACACTGGAGGGAATTATTCTTTCCATTTTTCTGATGTGTATGGGTAAGCTACAGATTTTGTGGTTGAAGTAGTTTTCACTCAAGAATTATGAGGTACTACAAACTCTAAATGCTGTTCCTACATTGGAGTCTATTAGCTTTCATTCAAGTCAGGACATGTTTCACTATATCATAAAAAGGAAATGAGTAATTAATGAGCAAGTCTAAATTGATGGAATGCTAACTATCAGTCATTAATTTAATGGCTTCTCCTTTTCTTTTTTGTTTTTGGTTTTAAATGGCCAACTGATGGTATTTTCTTTTTAATATCATTTCCCTTGTATTTTTATACACATTTTTATTATTGCTGCTGCTGCTCCTCCTACTGCTGCCTTTACTTCTACATTTAAATTATTATTAATTATTACTTTTGTTGTTTTGCAGGAGACACATTGCAATGGTGGAAATGTGTCGAGTTGTTGGTAGTAGGGATCAGCTTATAAGTTTGTTACTGCTACTTTCTGAACATGTGCTAAACATCATCCTCATCCATCTTCAGGAGAGGTGAGCCATTGAAATTTCTGATCCTGATGATTGAATGCACATTTACATTGAATAGCAAAATCAAATATCCAATTCATTATTAATGATTTTATATCCTGATTTATTAGTTTGATGTAAAAGCCATTTTTGCCATTGTATCATCGCAATGTAGACCTTTTACCTGCTTAATTACACCTTAGGTATCTAGTTAATTTCTTGCGGTTAATATTTGTATTCCATGGCAGTTCTGTTGTATCCGATGCCTCCTCGACCACAAAAGCAATTACGTATGGTGAGAAGCATGATTCACGACAGGACATTGAATCACTGTGTGGAAAATTAATTCCTACCCTTGAACGACTTGAAGTACTTTGTGAGGTAGGCGTCATCGCTTTTATCACCTGCAATCCTTTTTAACATTTCAATTATTTCATGTGAGTTATGGTCGTTCTCCTTGGAGAAATACTGAAACTTCCCATTGTAGTTGAAGCAAGCAAGCAATTGTGTTGATGAAAATAGTTTAATTTGTGTAGTTTGTGATTAATTCTGAAGTTATTTGATGGTAACAGGACTTCAAATATATTATGAGAACATACGCTCAAAGCAGGCTGTTCAATCCCAAAAGTCAAAGAGCAAATAATCTAAAATTGCCTAATCTACAAGACACATATTCAAAGGTTAATTAACATAAAATTGAAAATCATAACAATAATGATCTTTAAGTATTGATCTTACCCTCCATATCCTATATCTTGAGCCTGTCTTTTGGTTGGATTGCAGCTTTGTTAAGATAATATTCCTTTCTGTGTTGTGACCATTCAATTTATGTTCATTTAATTGGTAGAGGCACCAGTTCATAGTTCACTGTTTGCATTGTGAGCGAAAGTAGTGGTCTCAGTCCCATTATGGCTGGAGAAGTCTTTACTGGCAAACATACTAGGAATTTGGCTTGTTACTGAGGGTGTTGGTCTGGGCAGGAAAGCAACTTTTGAAATGAGCATATAGGACCTAATTAGGGAGTTAATGTTGGTCCTATATGTAAGACCTATTTCACATGTTTATTAATTTTTTTCTAAATTAACCTTATTGATATTTCCTTAACAATAATGAAGTAGGAGAGGAGCGGTGGAATTAAGAAAGGTGATTAGGGTAATTTAGACATATTAACTAATTAACTAACATCCTTAATCTACTTAAATTAATTAATTAGATCTTACATTGAGGATTAAGGACCTGTGGAGTATAAAAAAAGGGGCTGGTCATTAAACTTGTTAAGGCACTTGTTCGTGGTTCAATGATTGAATTGTGATTGAATCATGGTTGAATGGGTCCTAATTAAATTAATATACTTTTATTTTATATCTCAAAATATCATGTAGGACAATCCAATTGTAATTATGTCAGAAATAGACTTTAACACTACAATAATACTTTGTGCAATCGTAATTATGTGTTGATGAATAGTATATCAGTAAATTATTACTATTAATAATGCTACGTGTGATAATTGTGACTGTTATTATTTGCTCCATAGATTGTAATATTAGTCGAATTATATATGAAAACTTGGATAGTATATACGTGGGAAGATATCCTAATATGCTAAAACATGGCTATATCATGCTCTTACACTTAGATATGGTTCAATCTGGTTTCTAATGCTCATTATATCAGTACCGGTCAAATCTATGGGTAAATTGGCTGTGCCACACCCCTACACGTCGGCTCCATTTAAACCCTGTTGCTAGTCGCCTGTGTATTATAGTATTGAGTTGAGACTTGGGATGGGCGACAGAGGAGAAACTAGGAATTGGATGAAGAGAGGTGACAGAAAAATTGACATGCACAGAGATAAAGTCGTCTGTAAATAATGGAGTCACGCATTGCTTGAAGTAACGAACGTTGAGAGTTAAGCCTATATAAGGGAACAGCTTCTGCAACCTGAAAGTTCCGAGCAGGAAGAAAAGCTCTGACTTTTATTCACCGCAATCTATTACATATATAGGGAGAATAGGGACAATCAAACCCAGAATCTGAATTTAATCGCATCCTTTATTTTCCTCTAGACAATCACAAAGCAACATAAATGAGATTACAATAAATCTGATTCTGATTACAAGATCAGTGATACTAGGTTAAACACAAAGTAAACTAGGTTTGGGTCTTGGGAGAAAAAGCCCAATTCCAACACTCCCCCTCAAGCTGGCGAATATATGTTGATCATTCCCAGCTTGCTTTTAAAGCCTTCAAACATCTCGAGTGCGAGATTTTGTTATAACATCTGCAATTTGTTGGCCAGAGGGAATGTATAATGAATTGATCACTTTATTGTCCACCTTTTTTTCAATGAAGTATCGATCTATTTCTAGATGCTTATGGTGAATGGGATTGTTAGCAATCTTAATTGCTGAGACATTATATTGGTTTCTTCATCTCAATTTTTTGCTCCTTCAAGAGTCACACAATCCATATCCCTTCACAAATGCCTGGGGACAATTCTCTGTATTCTGATTCTGCTGAGCTCCTTGAAACCACTGGTTGCTTCTTATTCCTCCAAGTTACCAAGTTACCCCAAACATAGGAGCAATAGTTGGTTGTAGATCGACTATCTGACCTTGATCGGGCCTAATTTGCATCAGTGAATAGTTCTATGCCTCTAGAATCACCTTTTGCAAAGAACAGTCCCTGCCCTGGGTTATCTTTAAGTATCTCAGGATCTGTAGACTGCTGTCATATGTTCCTTTTGAGGATTGCTTGAAAGCTGACTCACAGTGATTTGGAAACATATATCAGGTCTAGTCTGGGATAAGTAAATTAACTTTCCCACTAGTCTCTGATATCTTTCATTGTTCACTGCCGTACCATCTGGTCTGATGGTGAGCTTCTGGTTAAGCTGCATTGGGGTGTTGGCGGGTCGTGCCCCTAACATCCCCTCTTTCTACAACCCCTAACATCCCCTCTTTCTTTTAATAAGTCTAGTGTATATACACTGATTCCTTTGTGCGTTTGGGCAATCTCCATTTAAAACATTTGCGTAACTCTGACAAATTATGCGCAAACAGCAGCTGTTTTCACTACCATGGCAAGGACAAAGTAGAAGAGATTAGGTCAGTTTTTGCAAGGAATCCAGTAAAGGTGACACTAGAGACTCCAAACCAATATCATCTCGGGAAACTAGTGAGACCAGGAAGGAACATAATGGATTTTAATCGAGGACCATGAGAAATTAGCCCCCCAAAAAAATGGGAACAACAAGACCAATGAGTCGGGCTAGTCTCACTGCAATCAGGGTCATTATGCTATGGATTCTTGTACATATTTTGTTTGCAATCCACATGGTGAATGAGTTAAATATAGCCTACAAGTCATCTTTATCAATAAGAGACTAGCTTTGATGATGATTTTTTGATAGACGAGAACATTGTCATGTAGTAGTTCATAGTAGTCAAGTCTTATTTTCACAGAACTGCAACTGATTCTAGGAACCGTAGAATTACATGGTTAAAGAAAAAATTACATTTCTTCTTCTAAGTAGGCTTTCTTCCTATGACTTTAAGATCAGCACGACTTGTATGATATGTCAACTCTGATGTACCGTTTGTTCACTTGTGAATGCTTCACTACAAGTCATTGTTGGCGAAGAAATCTTAGGTGCCTCATCTGTAGGGGCTAGCATTGATGATTTTGTTTTAGTTAACCTCACCTATAGCTAACTAGCGATTGAGGGGCCAACTGACAGTTTGCCCGTTGCAAGTGTAGCTAGTGAAGCTATCAAGATTCAAGACAGCAATAGGCTTTCAAAGTGTGATTGACTGATTGGGTCCATTCTTGAAGGGACTGTTATCTTGCACCAAGAGGGTCTCCTGTTAAACTCAGATTTCAGTCCCTCGAACTCTTGAGATTTAGAGAATAAAAGTTGCATGTATTGTTAGCCATCTAGTTGTAGTATGTTATAACTCTAGCGTGACTCTATCCCTATGCAACTCATTCATAATACAGGTTTTGACTTCTATTTCTATACTCTATCTCTATATGCGATTGTTCTCTCTTGCTCTGCCTTTATCAGTTATGTTATTGTTCATCACGCTTTCTTCTCTTCTCTTCTCTCCTCTGTGTGTGTGTGCAGGAGAAAGTAGGGCACAATCTCAAGGTTTTTCACAGATTGGCAACTTCGACTAAAGAGATTGCCGTTCAAAAGATCGTTTTGTAGATCTGCGTATGTGACTTCTACAAATTTAAAAAGTCAACTGAAATCAACTGCTCATCAAGGTCAGCCTATGATCAAGCAGATTTTGTGAATTATAACGTGTGCTACAGGATGCTTCAAGGCGCAAGTTATAACGTGAAAATAGGTGTAGCATTAGAATTAGATATTAGCCTCCCTGAAATGCTCTGTATGTGGTTCGTATATTTTACACTCATGAATGTAGATTATACATTCCAAGAGAAACATAAGAGTAGTAGATTCTGTGATATGTTAAATTATCATTTTTGGCTGATTAGAAAACGTAGAGAAGATTGTTTTGTAGATATGGAAATATCATTAAATTATAAGAATGAAGAGAAGATTCGACTTGATTATCTAAAGAAAGAATGTTATTATTCGCCTTTATGATCCAGGATTTTTGTTAAAAGTAGTGATTGGGATCTTATGACGAGTTTTCCAAGAAAAATGTTCTCTCAAAAATCAAGTTTTCATAACATAATCATTTCAGTGCTTTCAAAAGCCTTGTCTACTTGTCAACAATTTCTTATTGGTTATGAGGAGTTGGTGGCAAATGGTTGAGTTTGCTGGCAAAACTAATGACAATCTCTTCCTTCTATTTAATGGGCTTCGTATCTAATGTATTATGTTGTGAAATGATTTGCTTTTGTTAAACCTTAACATATTAATTTCCTCGTGTAACACAGCAATTGAGTTTTACAAGTGCCAATGCTTCACATGCAACCTTATCAAACAACTTGAGCCCATATTCTTGATGTAATTACTTGTCTTTATCTTACCTTTATTTAACCTTTATTTAATTTAAGCAATTCTTCGTCAAAATTCTCCTTTAACGCAGTTGTTAACCCCAGGAATCCAACAATATTTTATGCATATACTACATCCAATCATGGAAACAAAAAAAAAGAAGAAGCATGAAGCATCAAGGCGCAGGCCCAGCACGCAAACAAAAAGCCTAGCAGCCAATATGTGTCCATGTAAAAATGCACCAAGGAAGACCACCATGAGCATCCATACCAAGATAAGAGAAGCATTGTACAGGTTGAAGCCGTCCGTGCATCATTATTCTTTTTTTTCCTGTTACTTGCCTCATATAAATAAGGACAGACCTGCAAAAATAGAAAAATCCATTTCTCACATGTTTATTACTTTTAACTAATTTTAATTTTTTTTCCCTTATAAAAAGAATAGGAGAGAGCATGTAACAGATATGTTTTACTAGGTTATCGTGTTTCTAGGAAGGGTTCCTCCACTTCTCTCCTCCACCTCTCATTTAAAGTATATGATTAAAGTTTGAGTGGTTCAGATTTTATATTTTATAAAATTATTGATAAAATGTTTTTAAAAAATATATAAATAAAATTAAACTAATAAATTTTAGCAATGATAATTTAAAATAATAAAAAATGTTTAACAAAAATTATTTTATAAAATATAAAATCTATTCAAATTACAATTTTAATGATTAAAATGGGAACTGGAGGCACCCTTTTCCATATATGTTCTACCTTACAAGTGGGCTCCTCACCTATAAATTCCACCTCGTCTTCGAACAATCTTTTTTTTTAAAAAAAAAAAGAAGAAAAGAGTGTATTAATGAATATACTTACATCAATTCATAACATAAGAATTTTCTAATTAATTTACACATATCAATGAAAATAATTAAAACATTAAGGAAAAATTTCTTAAAAAGACTTCTAAATAACTTACATTTTTATTTGGGTCATTAAATTTGTCAAACTCCTAATTAGTTCACATGACTCAAATAAGGATTTTAAAATTTTTTGAAATGACTCTAACACCTATTTTATTATAAACCAATAGAGAAGATTCTATAGTAACATGTTTTATTTCGTAATTAACACGTTTTGATTATAAATTAACGTTTCTTCTCCATAATGAGTTACGTAAATCTTTGAGTAAAACTTGATCATAATACAACTTTAAAAAATAATAAATTCAATTATGTAGTTAACAAGTTTCAATTCTAACAACTTTATGTTTCCAAAATGCAGTTACAATAAGTTTTTGAATAAAACTTAATCACAGCACAATCTTAAAAATTAACAAATTTCATTTCATAGTTAACATTTTTCAATTCTAAATTTACAACTTTTTGTCTCCATTACACAATCGTATTAAGTTTTTGAATACAATTTGATTACAATATAACTTTAAAAACTAACATATTCCATTGCATAGTTAAACAAGTTTCAATTCAAAACTAACAACTTTCTGTTTTCACAATATACTTATAATAAGTTTTTGAATAAAATTTTATCACAATACAATATTAAAAACTAACATATTCTGTTTCACAGTTAACACGTTTCAATTTTAAATTAACTTTTTCTTAGGATAAAACTATTAGAATTGAGAAAAATATTTAATGTAAAATCTAACTCATAGTTATCTCCTTGATTGACTTTTCGATTTTATAATGATAGCCACCAAGTTTTTCCTATTCAGAGGTCTTATGCAATGTGGAAATTATAGAAAATTCTCACGTCCCTAAGTTTCTAATGAGAAGGGCATAAAGTCATTTCATAAAATTTTAAAATTTCTCTCTAGATTATGTGACCTGATTAAAGTTTTGACATATTCAATAACCCAAACAAGGATTTGAATTATTTAAGCATCTTTTTAAGGGATTTTCCCAAGCATTAATTTTGTTATAAAATTTAATAATTTCTCATATTACCCTTATTAACTGTACTAAATTCTAATATCATATTAATTTCTCCTCTCTCTCACATGACCTTTATTAAATATGGGAAGATATCAAAAAAATATTTTGAAGATATCAAAAAAATATTTTAAGACTTATTGAAATTATTAAAACATCTTATAAAATGAACTAAAAATATCTTCTATAAGACTTTTTATAATATCGACCAGGGGAAGCATATAATAAAATTTATAATAAGTACTACTCCCTCTGGTCTTTATTATATGAGCCATCTGAGAAGAAATTTTTTGTTCTTTTTGTAAGATTCTTTGATAATTGCGATGAGCATTAAATAATTTCTTTTCATATATGTCCGTATTTAATGAGAGTGGTGAGATGATATAAATTAATATGATGCACTGAAAATTACTTAAAACTTATAATAAATTTAATGCTTTTAATTGTTTTTATTGATATGTGTGAATTGATTGGCTGGTTCTTATGAAATGTCCAGAGGAAGTATTTGGATTAGTTAATTTAACAAATTAATTCTACATCGTATGAGATAAATATATGAAAAAAGTTTTATTTTGTAAAGGTAAAAAGATTTTTTTTCCTTTTAAACTCTCACAAATTGAGCGAGTCAAATGCTCTCAAATTATAAATTATGCATCTCATTTTTCTTTTTTTCTTTTTCGTTTGGCCCGGGTATGCATCTCATTTTTTCTAACAACTTTTGTTGGCACAGAAAGCTTCAAAAGCTCTACAAACCTCAGTAGGCAACAATAGAAAGCAACAAAGAAAACAAATACAAATAAATAAACATAGGACAAAAAGCCCAAAAAAGAAAGCACCAACGCAGAAAATCTGTCTCGTTAACTAGTGAATGTTGGCATTATTATTCATATTATAAAAGATTAACTTAATCAACTATACCTGCTGTTCTTAAATATGAATTCGTTAATTAATTTGAGTAAATTAAAAAAATTATTTAAGTTAATTATTTATAATAAATATGTGTTATTTTTTCTAAAATATTCTTGCTAATCATGTGTATTAGCTATAATTACTATTTGATGAAATATTTAACATGTGTAACTTTCCTTGGAAAGAAATAGATAAATATGAGAAATAAAGTGGATTTAGGTCTTATATTAAGAATCAAATTGAATGTCAAACTAATTCTTCATTTAAGGACCAGATGTAGTATTTATTGAAAAAAAGTTATCACAAAAAAAAACCTCCAAAAGCCTAAATAACCAATTTGAATAAATTACATATGTTAGTTAAATTAGTTAGGATTAATATAATCTTTGATTAGTCAAGTTTGCCCTCATTTTTGTTTTAGTTTCTCTAGTTTCAAACCCTAGATTTTGGTCCCTCAAAGGACAAAATGGTCCAAGTATTTATTGGATTATAGGGAATAATATTTTAAATGAAAAGAAATTTAAAAGACCAAAATCTATGGTTTGAAACTTGAGGAACCAAAACTAAAATGAGAATAAACTTGAATGATCAAAGTTTGTATTAACCCAATTAGTTAATATGATATGTTTTTTTCTAAATGTATTAACCCAGTTAGTTAATATGATTTTTTTCTTAAATACTCTAATATTATTTCTTAATTCCTTCCCTTCTTTTCCTATTTAATTATTATTGAGAAAATATTAATAAAATCAATTTAAAAAAATTGATAAATAGGTAAAATAAATCTTATATATAAGATTAATATCAAATCTCATATTAGTTACTCTTCTGATATTAAAAATAAAACTTATTTTATAGTACAAATTATATTATAAAATAAGTCATATTTAGGATTTTATGTGCCATGCTAGGACGAGGTGGATAGCTGTTTCGACTGCAAAGAAATTTTCTTGGCAGAAAGTAGCGGTTGTTTCTTGCCAGCAGTGTACACAGCTTTTCTGTGTTTTCTGTTTTCTCCCATTTGTTCGATCTTGGATTCTGAAAACGCAATGTTCTGAAATAAGCTGCCCCAAATAGATCAAAGGGCTTCTGCTGCGCTTGACTGATCAAGATTGCATTTTCCTTCAAAATCCTACGCTTTCCCGGAAAGTTTTTTCCCCACGAAGTGCTAATTTCCTTTTCCATGGCAAATGCCTGGAAAAGAGATAAACCCTCCGGACTACGCTCCCCGAGATTCCTCCTTCTACTTCTCTCTGGTTCTCTTATCCTTCTCTTTATCTTCTTTTCCCTCACTACTCGCCCCTCCAATCCCAGTCCTGGCTTCCTCGCCGTAAACACTCGTCTCTCGTTCCACGCGATTTCTCCTTTCGATTGCATCAAATCTCCACAAGCACACCCGGTGATTGCTAGCACCGTCGAAGGCGTTCGATACCCGTTTCTGTACTCCCTTTCCGATTTCGGAAATTTGCCTGACAAGCCTCACAAGAACATTGTCAGAATCCTCAAAGGGAAACGTTTTAGGAAACCCGATATTTCGGCAACGATTCAGGATGTTTTGGAGAGGATGAAAAGCGAAGGACGAGATGGTTTTGTTGTCGATGTGGGCGCCAATGTGGGGATGGCAAGCTTCGCTGCCTCGGCTATGGGTTTTCGGGTTCTGTCATTCGAACCTGTTTTCGAGAACTTGCAGAAGATTTGTGAAGGGATTTACTTCAATAGGGTGGCGGAATTGGTCACTCTATTTCAGGCTGCAGCATCGGATCGGCTTGGTAACATTACCTTTCACAAGGTACTGTTTCTTGACGATTGCTATTGATTGATTTCTTGCATTAAATTTGATTTTCCATAGTTTATATGGTGAAGTACGAATTGAACTATAGTGGGAGATGGCAGAAAATGGCTTAGCTTGTCGGGGATTAATTTTAAGTGAGGGGAGTAACTGGCTAAATGCTTAGCTTAGGCTTCATTTCTAAATCAATAAATTTAGATTTGGAAATTGAGTAGCATACCTCCAAGGTTTATTTCTACTCGAGTTGCTTCTAATCTTAATTTCCGAACAATTACTTATTCTTGCGTTCTGAGGCACCCTAGGATCTGAATTCGAGCGGAATAGATTCAATCTGTGTGTGAAGATATTTAATGAAGTTGAGGCATACATGTAAGTTTGATGTGTGAAGCTGTTCAGAAACTTAGAAAATTGTACTACCTCTCGTCCTAATTATAAGACCCCATTTAGGACCGGAGGCAGTAGTCTGTAGGTGATAGCAAGATACTGAAAGATCAGTTGGGGAACCCTGGTACAGGCTATTGATATTGACTTGTGAATAATGGTTAACTAATATGCACAGCTTAAGTTGTGGCTTACGGCTTTAATTGGATGGGCTTGGATGGATCCATCTATAAGCGTTAACAATATCTTCTAGAGATACTGTTGAATCATAATTCTCTAAGGCTCCTAAAGTCTGTACCATGCGCAATTTATCACTTGTCACGGTGGAAGTTATTTTAAAATAATGCTTCTCTGCTTCGTGGTTGAAGCTGTCAATAGTTTGACAAAATTACAACACAAATTCATTCTCATTTGTAGTTTGGTTAGAACTTGAGACTACGTAGTTCCAGTATAAAGATGAGTCATTTGGATCTTAACTAAGTATTACAGGAAATGACGCAAAGAATGAGCGCGCGGAACCCATTTTCTTGCTCTTTATATCCACTTTTTTCTCTCTATTTCTCTTTCACTTCAAAAACACTTTGCAAACTTATAATATTTTGCTGATCTGCTATAGTTGGTTGGTCGGCTGGACAATAGTGCTGTTTCTGCAACTGGTGCAAAGTTGGCATTTCAATCCAATGAAGAGATAGCTCTTCAAGTAAAGTCTGTTCCTCTAGATGAAGTGATTCCTGAGTCGGAGTCAGTGCTTCTGCTGAAAATAGATGTTCAGGGATGGGAACATCATGTGCTTAAAGGAGCATCGAAGCTTCTCTCAAGAAAAGGAAGTGAGGCCCCATATCTCATATATGAGGAAGATGAGCGCTTGTTGCAGGCGAGTAATAGCAGTGCAAAAGAGATTCGCGACTTTCTCAAAACTGTGGGTTATCATGATTGTACTCAGCATGGCACAGATGCTCATTGCACCAAGAAGGCTTCAACATAACTTTCCTCTTCAAAATTTTCTCTCGATGGATGGTGGGGTCCGCTGGCATATTCATTTTAATCAGTTTTGATTAGCTGCTTTCAGCTATCTATAATACAAAAGAGCATTGGGTAAGAATTTCTCTTGATTACAAATGCTAGCGAGACTGAGTTAGGGATTGAATGGTTAACAGCAGGCTTCAGAATATCTTGATGAATCTCACACAGTGATATGAGTTGGAAATAGATCTGCAGCTTGAGGTGTATTCTCTAGGAGCTTTTAGGTTTGATTTCCTGTTCTTTTGTTTGAAATTTGATTTATCCATTTTTTCTTCAAATGTATGTCAGATGTAGTGAAATTACAAATGCTAATGGTCAATTGGCCTCACATCACATGCCCGCTTCAAATGGTTACCAATGTCGGCCGTTGGACGCTTTCTGATATAACCAAACTGCATAAACATTGAAATGAACAATGAATGGAGAAGCTATCCATTGTCCATCTTGTTACTCATGAGCTGAGGCCAGTATTTGAGAAGCAACAAATTATCGTAAACGAAGTAATTAAGCCCTCTGTGTCACTCAAAGAATTTGGCAATTCAGCTTGTAAGCGCGTGGGGTTGCGGCAAAAAGGAAGTGAGATTTGCTTGTGAGAATGCATTTTCAGTTGAGAAAAAAGCCACTTGTTGATCTCTTTTCAAAAATTGTTAAACATGTGTTGTGATGTTATTTCTTAATCAAAAGTTGTTAATGCCTATTGAAATTTAATCAATACCCACACAAAATTCGTCCATAACTTGAAAAAATGGGTTGTTATTTATTGTGATGTTGTTATTTCTTAATTAAAAGTTATTAATGCCTATTGAAATACAGTTAATACCCTTATAAAAGCGGTTGATAATCTGAAAAAGTAGGCTGCTATTTCTTAATCAAAAGTTGTCAAATTGTGCTGTGGTATTGTTATTTCTTAATAAAAAATTGTCAACAACCAGGTAGTTAAAATTGAGAAGATAACTTATATTATGTTTTGGATTATATTGATAGCAAGACATTGGTAACCCAATAATTATGCAATATTTTGGCCTAAACCACTAAAGGGTGGTGCCAATGATGGGCACCGCGAGTATTTGGCGAGGGGTTGGGTTTTTTTTTTTTTTAAAGACTTTTTTTTTAATAAAAGGCATTGGTGTCAATTGTCCTTAATTTTAAAATGACAATTTAGGATTTCCTCCCATTTTGGTATTATGAAGTGTTAGCTTCTCAAATTGGAATTGAACTTTTTTTTAGTTTAATCTGTTATAAACATTAGGGTGAATTATAATTGAGTCCCAAAAAAAAATTTAATTACTAATAAGTATCAATAACAAGTAAGCAGTTATCATTTTACATTTTGAAACTTACCAATTGTAAGCTATTTTGTTGTCACCGAAACTTTTTAGTATTATGTTTCTTATTTAAAATTTCGTAGTGATTCTCTCTAAACATTATCAATGAACGTGAAATTAGTTAATTTTAAATTTATAGAATTTCATAGATTTTATGAAATTTCTTTCAATTCATTTTACATCATTTTAACACGTGCATTTCATAAAATTTATAAATTGAAATTATTGGATCAAATAATAAGGATTCAATTGGAACAATAAATTACAAGAATCTAATACAGGATCGAGATAAAATTATAAGGACCTCTAGATCGATTTTCCGCGGCAGTAATTATAAGCCGTGAATTCTATGGACCTCGGTGATTTTTTTTTTTATTATCACTTTTCGAATTCAGTTTAATAAGTGTGATTCCTATCTGTCTTTTTTAATTATTTATTTTATCCTTTTGTCACTAGAAAGAATCTGGGTGTTAGAATGCAATCAAGTGTACATATATTTTTTCCTTAAGCCAAAAAAATCTACTTATTGCTAGTGGAAAAGCTTTCGCCCCAAGAAAATAAATCGTTCAAATGAAACATCTCACAAATTGACTATTGAGAATAAGTAAGACTATCATACTAGTAATCCCATTGGAGGACATGCCAAGTTATAGAAGATTAAAACAATATAATTGTGATTTCAAATGGAGCCCTCCGCATTAAATGTAAGCTAAAGTTTATTATTACACAGTATAAAGTTACTCTTACATAAGATAGACATAATACATAACTTCAACCTGTACAGGTCACAGAATTTGTTGTACCCTGGATCTATAGAATGAAAGTGACTCAGATACAAAAGCTTATTCCTTAAGATTTTTTCGGTCCACTGTTTTGGGAAGAGCCAGCTCTTTCCACCATGACATCGTAAAGCTGCTTCCCGTTCTGCTTGTTTTAACAAAGCAGTAATGATCAACTTAAAAACAAAAACAGAAAGGGAAACAAAATGTCAAAAGCTTGAAGTTCCAGACTGCTTACAAAGATTATAGGGAAGAAATGAATTTGTCCCTCGGGCTTTGTTTGTTTCTCCTTGAAGTACACTAAGATAGGGAAGTTAGGCCACCAAAACTCCCAATTAACAAATGTTGAATACCTGAAGCGCATCAAGCAAATTTTGTTTTGTTTCTCATGCTTTTATGAAATCCTAGTTTCATTAGATTTTCATAGCTAAATTATGCACTTACTTCCAACGGTTTTTCCCACCTACAAAGACATTTTCACCTGATTCCTTGAGTTCATCACCGACCTTTACCGCCTGAAACCATAAAGTTCGTAGACTAATGCTAATTTTATTTGTCAATAATGATAAAAACCAAAAACCCTGAAATGGTAAAACTACATTTACACGAAGAAATAACAAACAATAACCACAGTTTCGGGAAGGTGAAAAGAGAACTTACCAGAGCCTCATCATCAAAAACGAACCTAACTCTAGTGGTCTGAGGAAACAAAAGGAAACATCACAAGATAAGCACTCAGCTAGATTCTTAGAAGTTAGAACTGGAAAAAGTAGTGCAGCTAAAACAGATCCTGTTAGCTTGCAGCCTGTAAAGCTTCTCTAACATGTAATACTAATTAAACCTCATCCACTTAATTACAAGTTCAATTATTGATAATTACCTGGACTAACAGAAGCAAACCGAGGAGACCAACAGGGATAGCAGGAACCACATTATTTGTGTAAGCCAACCCACCAGTTATACCTGATATGATACAACTTAAAGTCATCATTATCTATTTTATAATGAATAAGAATAGAGACAGGACTATGGAACACTTCCTTTCTTTTCTTTTCTTTTCTTCCCCCCCCCCCCCAAAAAAAGGTCACAAAAGGAAATACAATCAAGTGTTATCAAAATACATCACTGGGGTACACGGTAGGGGAACCACTAGATCCCAGCATCCTCAACATTTGCAAGTGCACAAAGCTAGCAATTTTCAGGAGCCATATCCTCATAAAGGAATTTTCCTTTTCTTTATAGTTGTAAACATTCACCTGATGACCAATACCCAAGAAGAAGACAGCACACTGAAGGAGATGAGTGTGTGTGTGTGTGTGAATCAAGTTCTTGCCTTCTAAGATTGTAACCTTCCATCACCACCCCAAGCAAAGAGCTATAGCAATAAAGTTCTTTGGTAAAAAGTGAAAGAATAGTTTGCTTGCCTCTATACTTGCTGCGTGGCTGCTTACGATTATGAAATTCTAGATGATATTAGTCCACAAGCATTATGAAAGTTGATTACCAAGAAAAGTTTTACAAACATTCATGGGTCACCATAGTCTAGTTGATATCTCAATTAATGTACAGGTCATCCAAGTATTATTTTGACTACCATTTTCAACATTCATCTTTCCCGGAGAACAATATGCATTCGTGTTTAACTTCAAACACATTAAGTTATGGACCTATTTCTAGTCAATTAGAACTCTTCATTGTTATAAGGGCTATTGCTCCCTCGCAAAGCTTAATGTGTGCTAAGGCACATATAAGACAAGGAAGAACCAGTTTTTACCGAGCAAAACAATTGGAATTCGGTAATCTGGGTCGGGAATCACAGTCTCTCTGGTCTTGACTCTCCTTCCAAGCTGTCGACAAAGAAAATCAACAGCGAGAATTACACAACTAAAACCAAAACTACGATTTAAGACCATGTAAGCATTGCTGCTCTGAGCATCCTTATATCGGCATGTTTACATCTAGAAAATTAAAATTATGGAATTTTTATTTTAATCATAATAATGATTTCTTGTAAATCACTAAACTATGTATAACTATATATGTGCATATATTGGTGGAAGAGTTCGGTAGTAACCAGTGAGGAAACCACAAGACGGCTTCCATGGCGAGTAGCTATCTCTCTTCTCAAAGAATTGGGATCACACAGTACTTGTCCGCACAACGATGTCTTGATGTCAGTAACGTATCCTACATTTTCCTTTTCTAGAACAAACAAATAAAGTATACGCAATTAGCTCCAAATCAAATGTTTCCCCATGAACATGGAAGAACAGCCCAAATTTCATCTTGTATATCCTATGGAAGAATTATCACAATTCCTAATTAATTGTAAGATTCAAAGAAAACCCTATAAAAGTTATACAAAATTAATCAACAAAAGAGATTAAAATAATGCATAAATGTCATTAAGCTTACTTCGCGAGGGAAGAAAGCGATAAACCGACAACAGAGAGCTCGCCATTTCTTTTAGTCTCTTATTTTGCTTACGTCCTCGTTTTTTTGGTTTCTGTGGGGGATGCAATTTGGGGTGGATAATATTACGTTAATACCCACCTTTTTTAGCCGTAAGAAATGGAATACACGGGGGAATTCGGGATTTGTTCAAGGGCATTTGCGGAATACGAACCTAAACTTGACCCGCGGAGAAGAGGACCTTATCTGTTTCAACTTTCAAGTTGGGTTCGGTGCCACTAGACGGCTAAAAGCACACACTGCAGCCTCAGGCTTTGGTTAGCTAATCCGTTCGATATTTTTCTTCTGAGAAAGCAAAGGCTTTGCAAAGGCATTTGAACTCCAGTACATGGCGCATACTCTATTCTCCACTCCAATTTGTTCCTTGAAATCCTCAAACAGACCAGGTATTCTTGACTTTCTGAACCTTCTCGAACTTCCAAGGTTGCGAATGTTGTGTTATTGAATGCTTTTTAATTAATTTGAGTAGGGATAGTGACCCGCAATTCGGTCGACCGAAAGGCTTTCCAGATAATCGAAGCATGTCAGAATTCTAAAGCTCGCAACTTACAGTCTTTCGAAATCAAGGTGAGAGTTTGTTTTCAGCTTCCCGGTTAGAAAGGATACGCTTATTGATTATTGCTGATACAAGTTAATAAAGGGATTCTTTTGCTCGAACGTGTCATGTGGGATCAGTTTCTGTGTAGTTTTTGTGATACATAGTGTGATGAAGACCGCACAGTTAATAAACCGTTGCCTCTACTGTTGCTGTAAAGCA